ACTGATTAGGGTTGTCGATTTTACACATTGTGTTACAATGTGTAAAATACACGTTGTTTTAACTAGAAATTTTATGTTAAAAATTTATGTTTCACAAGTAAATGGTGATCCACAAAAAAACCTACTCAGTGGCAAAAACAGTTATTTCGATTTAAAAACTAAATTGCTAAATCGATTTTGATAAAATTTTGTATGGAACCGATCTGTAAATATGTCCTTTCAGATAAAAAAAAAGAATTTTCCAAATCGGTTTACAATTGACGGAGTTAAGAGGTAACAAACAAAAAAAAATACAACCGAATTGATAACCTCTTATTTGAAGTTGGTTGAAAATAGATTATACGATAGAAATCAGTCGATGGGTCCCTCCCTTCTTTTTCTGTAGATGTCATAAGGGGCGACTAAGAGAACTTAATGGTCAAAGGATAGACAGTAGCGTCTCTCTTCATCGACAAAGTCAAACTGCGGTTGGTATCCCGCCTGTCGAATGTACCAACTACTGCCAATACTTATAAGGGAGATCTATGTTCAGCAGTGGACAGATAACAACTGATGATGATGATGATGAAATAACAAAGATGTAAAAAGCATTACAAACTTTCATATCAATAATAAGTGTTGATAACATCCAGTGATCACCCTGTAACGCCAATAGCACGGTAATACTTGGCCAACACTAATACTGTGCACATCCGTTTATGTGCACGAGCGTGTAATCTACGTTTACCAAGAAATCTCGGCTTGGTCATAGTCGTTTAGATGTCTAATAGACTCTGAAATAATCGCAGTAACGATGAGTTAAAAATTAAAACAAAAAATATGTACTTTTGAAATTCGAATCTCCACAGATGGCTTGGTGGTCTAGAGATTGTTTCCGTAAGGACGGTCGCCTGTATTATGCAAAAAATGCACAATTTTTCTAAATGTCATGACTGGAGTGAGGTGTGGCGTATGTAGATAAGAAATGTAAGAAGCGGGGAATTGTCTTAGGTCGTAGATTCCCAAACTATTTTGAGCAAGAGACCCGTTTTCCAAAGTGAACAAATACCTCCGACCTCCATACTCATTTTTCTTTAAAAATCCTATCCTTCTTTTTTCTATTTATACTTACCAAATTAAAATTTTTGCGTGTGGTTAAATAAGTAAACTTAACATAATTTTCTCATTAAAATCAGTAAATTTCAAGTGATATTAATAATTATTAATACAAATTACTTAAAAAGGTTTTTTTTTTGAAAAAAAAAAAGAAACATTATAATCGCAAAGTAAACTCCTACTAAAATATTAGTCACTCTTATAACAAGTTGAAACAAATAACTCAAAATATACAGTATTTTTAAGTTTCCAATAAGAACTTATGTTAATTAATAGGGGTTGATTTTTAGATTTCGTCGACCTCCAAAATTAGTTAACGTTTATGTCGCCCTTAAGGAACCGATTTAGACTCCAAAGGATCGATGTTGACCACTCTGGGAACTCCTGCTCTAGTCTGATTTCATGAGACGATAATGGTTTACAAACTCCGCCTGCGCTATCGTTGTTATATGCTCGCAGGGCACCAGTGAGGGATGATAAGTGAGGATGAAGGAAGTCAGGTCATTTGATCAATTATAAGAAATTCACTAGGAATTAACCAGGATAGTTTCCAAAGGGGACCAAATTATTTGTATGACTATGTAACACTTATATATATATATATATATATATATATATATATATATATATATATATATATATATATATATATATATATATATTTTATCGTAGTTCAGCTACGTAGAATAGTTTATTGGTGCTATCTTAATATACTTAATGTATGATGTAATTTAGTCGCGTGTTTGCCATCAACATGAGCCGTCAGGCCGTCACAGCAATTTCACGTTTCCAAGGGTTCGTTCAAGTTGAAAATCTAAGAGCTTGTTAATAAACCGTTATTGTCCGTTGCTAGTTTGCAAAACCTACGTCAAACGAGATAGTGTGAAAGCAAGGTTTTTTCCTGGTTAACATTATAATCTCGTGATAAACAGGGTGGATTAATCGTACTAATACTCAAATAGATTGTACTCAAATAGCCGTGTAATATTAATTTTAACCGATTAGAAAATAGACAAGATACCAAATTCAAATATTTGACTCTTTCTTTTCACCATTCGTCACGTCATCGAGCGATCAATAATCTACTTGTAAAATATTCAGAGATATGATTTATTCTTTGGGCCAACGACAGTTATCGAATGAGATCCGATTATGATATGACAGATTAATATAATCGGTTATAATAAATCCGATTTCTTTGATAGCAATATTCCCACCAATCGTAGTTCCTTATGTCAGAGTTATAAATTACATTATTACAGAGACATTAATCATTTAATCAATTGATAATAATAGGGATCTAAATTGCTCCCCCGCTAAGGAGAACATATGGCTACCTATGTAGGTACAAATACTAGTCAAAACAAAGCTCGTTCGTTTCCATAAACAGATAGACACAAAAAAAAAGTAAAGTGAAAATGTGGCACGTGCCGCAGAAAACAGTTGCTAAATTACGCGCAAGTAGGCCGAAATGTTTGTTGGTCGGCACCCACGCGTCCATTCTCCAGTGACCCTTGAAAGCCCATTGACCTACCATCACCACGCCCTTTATTCTACTCGGAGCGTAGGTGCTCGCGGGTTGCGGCGGCTCTTGCTAAACTGGCCGTCTGTGCACGCTCCGTAGATGAGTCTGAGAAACCCCGCAGCTCACTCATTATGGACATTGTGTTCAGAGGTAGTGTTTTTGATCGCACCGGCGCCATTTTGGCAGACAGAAACATGTCTAACTAATATAATAAGGGCCAGAAATTTGGGCCGATATAATAGAAACAATTGAATTGACTGGATACCATTTTGGATTCCACGATATTCGTTAGAATTGCCAAATACATATTATCCCACAGTGTAGTTCGTGCCTTTGTTCGTAATGGCACTGAGCTGATTCAAAAACAATGGAAGAGGAACTTGCCAAGAGTAATTTGCATTAATATAAAACGAGTACCTTCGCATTTTTCATACGTACCTATCTATACCATTACTATTATTTGTGTCCATATAGAACTCGAGCTAAAATACGCATCCACTTAGAGAAATTCAATTAAATATTCTTTTTTTTATTTTTATACAAAAATATTTTTAAAAGAGTTGTTGATTATAATACAAAAATATCTTACATCTTTTAGAAATAACTTACATCCTAAGTCTCTTATAAGTCTAAAGCAAGTAAGGCAAGTTACAGTGGGTGTATGTGAAAGAAGCAATAACAATGAGTGTGTATATAATCTGTTAATTAATATATAAATTAAATAAAACCTATGTTACTACAGTTCAGACAGACAATATAAATGATAAAATCGCAAATCTGCGAATTAGATGTTAAATATTTTATATAGTGCTACGAGAAATCAAATCTTCACTATTATATAATTTTCCATTTATTCAGCAACTTAAGGGCGCGGGGGCGGTACGTTACTGTTGTATATTTAATTTTGTTTTCAAAGTGTGGGACGAAAGTACCTAAAGCCTCCAACCCACTCTTCGTATACAAGCCTACACCTAACTACCTTAACACCTTATTGAAATGTACTTGCTTTTTCCTAATTTCTAAACAATAAAGAGGGTGAGTATGTTTTTTGTTCATATGTATATGTCCGGATATTTGGCGTACCTTGTAGCCCGTAAACGTTATATGGATTTTAATAAATGAGGCGCCATAAATGTAGGAGTGCCCAAGGGCGAGTATTTAATATCTATGACGAGTACTACAGTACATGGTAGTAAACAAATATGGCGGCCATTAATTGATTTTCGAAATTTGTTTTTGTGAAGTCTAATTAGGGACTACTAAATAAATAGCATAACAAAGGAGTATCTGATGTACTTGTAAGTTATAAAATGTTAAGAAACAGAATTTTCACAAATACGTGCGATATGACCCCCTCGGCGGCTCGGCTCGCCGAGTATCAGTTGGCTGGGCGAGGCTTGCGTCTGGGGGTCGTCTGCGGCCCGGCCACGACCTACATCCCTCGAAGGTGGGGCCCCCCCAGGGGTGAGGCCGCGATGACGCGCGTCGTCTGCCCACCCACTTCCCCGCCTTACATAAGATAAATGTTTTGCAGACAGTACCTATAGGCCTATAAGACCTTACTGTTTGCATAATTCACTTAAAATCGCCAAAGAACTGGAACAGTGGCTTTTAATTATACCTAGTTACGGCTGTGTGCTATTCTATGGCGTATCTCTGAATTTAAAATAATGTTCTTATAATATTTTATTATCATGAAATCATAGTTCTTACTGATGAACCTTCATATCCACAAGACTACGACGTGCTCATCTCGATAAAACTGTATAAATCTTAATGTGCCTTGCTGTATTCCGTTATGATGACCAATGTCTTCCGGGTTGTGCTTTGCGTTTGCAGAATATACACATATATACATATACTACACTAACTGAAGTGTTAATTTTAGATATAATCGTAAAAATAGATGATTTTCGAAACGAAATTTGTTGATTGGTTCAGTCTGGGTTTTCTGGTTTATAGATATATACCTAATACTTTTGGTTCTTACGCAGAGTGGAATTCTTTTTTTTTTACTATTGAAGGTTCCCGCGATTGATCACGATCTCACCTGTTGGAAGGCGATGATGGGGTCTAAGATGGAGCTCGCGGGTCCCACGAACAGATTATTCATAATTCGATGGCTAGTTTGTACTCGTAGACAATTGTACCAATTAAAATTGTCTACTAACTAGCTACCAAATTCCAATAATTTGTCTTTAACATTTATTAGTGTATTTAAACGCATTTACTATTTTTAATTAAAAAATAGACGTACTAAACAAGAATATCCTCGAGTCGTGTTCCTCAATTAAGGGTCGCAACTCCCGCCCAAAATTACCATTTCTTGTTATCGTTTACAGAAAACAATTTACTCAATTATTATATTTCTCTATTCCAGGTGGTGGAGACGGTGGTGTGCAAACCGGAGCCGCCAGAATCACCTCCAAAGAAAGCGCGAGGCGAGGACTACAGCTACGCGCTGTATCTTGACAATTACGCGCAGCTTCAGTACCAAGCGTTGTCCGCCTTCCGGCCGTGGGGTAAACGGGAGCCGGTACTCCAAAACCCTGAGAGGGTCGTCCGGGTAGCGCACTGCACGAGGTTCCAGCGGGATATCCAACCGAATGTTGCGCTCAAACCGCTCACGCCGCCCGTCGATGACGTCACCTCGTCCACTTCTCCTCCACCCAGCGAGCCTGAGCTGACTGCTCGCCTGCTGGACGCAGAGGCGAGGTTGGCGGAACGAGCGCGGCTGCTCGACGAGCGGGAGGCGGAGTTGGCTCGCCGCGAGGCCAGGTTGAACGAACGAGAGGCGGAGCTGACGAGGCGCGAGCGGGAAACAGAGAAATCGACACCCGAACGGAACTCCTCGCCCCCGAAGCAAGAGGAGACGGATCCGCCATGTTGACCAACGCGTGTGATCGTGAGGGTGTTCAAGTGACTCGCTTCGAACGCTAGTGACTAGACTATGCGTGCCCAGAGTACAAAACGTTAAGGTGCTGAACGTATAACGTTACACGAGAAACAAGTCGTTCGGAAACGCGCCGCCGTGTAAATAGATTTTTCAATATTTTTCCATTCTCAATATTTTGGGATATTTGTTGACCTTTGAATCCGTAATGTCTAATGGGAATTCTAATATTTATGATACCCGCTCGTATCGTGGATTAATGAATGTAATTATGGAAGAGAGCCGCAGCGAAACTCTTTCGCTTTACATTGCATTTATTCAATTGTGTATCGGTTTTACCGCTAAACATACTCGTAGTGTTGTAGCAGCAGGATGCAGAATATAATTGTACATAATCATATCAAGTACAGTTTTACGATATTTTGTACATTATACAGGTTTCTCGTAGTCTCTTCATTGTGTGCCATTCTTTAGGTGCCTCTGTTACCTTTACATACAACCTCAGTCTGCTTTTTCAATAATATTAACAAAATACTCACCCCCTAATATAGTAAAATAGATATATAATAAACATATAAACCATATGCATAATTTATACAGGGTTATTTTTAGGTTCTGTTTGCAATAGATATTAGTGTTTATACATAAGTCTTGTTTAAGTACTCCATACGTGTATTTTTTATTCATTTCCCTTTTGTTTTTAACGAAGTACATCCAAGTTTATGTTTTGTTTATTTGTAAAATAATAACTCTGTATAAAAACCTCAGCAATACCAAATAATAAAGGAATAATAGTTTCATGCAATAACTAGTTCATCATACCCCTTAACTCGACTTTAGTCAACTGATATAAACGACACTTGATAGAGGCACGTGATTTAAGTTTTGTTTATCTAAAACTTTCAATAATTTGATGTGTCTATGATTAGGTGCAACTGGCCGTTTACAAGGGGAGTTATGATCATAGACAATTTTGAGGGAACAATACCCTTGGCTATTAATTTAGGTATTCTAAACAACGCACTCCTACTGTTCGCGGAAAACAACTTGAACAAAACCACAGTCATTAAAACTTGCGCAGTAGACGCTTTTTTATGTAACATTTTTACTGCGCAAGTCACGTAGTTTAAAAGTCATGCTCAAGTTATTTGCCGGTACCTATAGCAGGTGTTTAGAAAAAAAAATGTTTTATCGAAACTTTATTATACTGTGTGTTAGTCCAGGCCGTCAAATTAAAAATAAGGGGTTTATCCCGTATTCTACCTCATTGTATATAAAAAGAAAAATATTTGGCTAAAGTAATAAGTGTTAAGTACCTAAGCTGATTTTAATTGTTTAGACAATCAAATTTGATTTGAAACATGTATTCTGGAGCAATAATTAAAAAAAAAAATGTGAAATATGTCACTGCCTGCACTTTGTTATCAATCTGTTAATTTATTGTAACTTTGTATTTAAATGAAAAAAAAAAACTAATTATGAGTGATGTATCTATTGATATTTTTAATCTATATCGCTCAATGTTAAAATTTTACACCTAAATAAAAATCATCTTCTCCTCAACGGCAATCGGTCGATGTTTTTACGACCATTTCTGCTAACGACATGTTATAAGAGGCTCGTTCTGAAGATGAAAATTATATCCAAACGATTGGTCAAATTTTGGACTTTTTGGAGTAAAAAAAAAAGGACCAGTGCAACACTAATATGATACAAATAAAAAAAAAAAGAAGAAAAAATACATCATAAAGATAGAAAGATATCAGAAAATTAATTCGATTTACATACCCACTGATGTACGTGCTCCTCTCCTATTTCACTGACCAATGTTGACTTGAGTGTTACAAATTTAACATATGATTGTCATTGTCTAAAAATCATTTTTTAATCTTTTAATGATTTATAAAAGTGTTAATTTCTTCATTGGTGGTTATACTACATATTATTATTATAATCACGGGCTTTGTCTCGCTTCAATTAGGAAACTGGTTATATAAATATATTAGAATATTAAATTCCAATAAGGCGACTGAGATCAAGTGGATTAGTGACAAAATTCAAGATGTCTGCATAATCTATCAAAAATGCATTTCGGGCCAATGCTCTACCTAGTTTACAAACCATAAACAAATACGTAATCACAAAGGCAACAAAATTAATGTTTAATAAAAGAAATTGTATAGAAAAACGCGAAAAGAAGGTCAAGGGTCCGTCCATCTCTTTTTAAATACCTAAAAACGTCAGCTATAATTAATGACTCATTAACACCTGGAAGACCGAGATTTGTTGCAGCGATTCTTATACAAAAATGTATAAATAAGTACTTATTATTTTCATGTAACTTCATTTGTTTGGAAGTTGTAATTCCAAGATAAAATTCTAAAAAAAAAAAAGTGATTTTATCGTCTATGTTAGCAATTTTTGTATGATTACAGAGTAACGGAAAGCTGTGGTCTAGTAAACGATCATTAGAAAATTGTTGACATGGTTCACTTATTATGTCTTCATATACAAACATTGCTCTTTAGAGTAGGATGAAAAACATATTGAAAAGTATAAATCGTGTACAGTACTTAGAAAGAGATTCCTGACAGCCTTCCGATGATTTTAGCTGAGATAATATAGGTAGCGCACTTTTTACAAATGCTGGCAACACCACTAATTTTGTAGATGGGTTACGCCTCATTTATTATGTGCCAGTGACTGTGCATTTCTATTAAGATGCCTTCGGCGTGATCCTGTGTGATGGAATTTTGGTAATAAATTATAAATAAAACTGTCGATGCCGTACGTAGTTCGGCTTTGGTGAAATTGTCACAATTTAACAAGTATACCCATTGAAGAATTTGACATATTTTTCAGTGTTGCTATAATATACACCAAAAGATATCTCAGATTATAACGTTACAACGGAATGGAATCTTCATTAGATTGTGTCAGTTTCTTATTTTAAAAGCGTTAATTGGTGTTAACACCAAATAGGATTTGTAAATTATTGGAACACCACAAGAACTGTTGTTGGACTGTTATAAGGCAACTATGATTGTAAATACCCGGACAAACCCGGGGGCTTGGGCGTTGTTTGACGCGATACAATTGTGAAAGTACGTGGAATAAAATTTCACTATTGAAAGTGACTATTAAAATCTTTGGCAAAGCTCAAATTGTAGAGAAATATGATTTTCTATTGTCAACGTTATTATTTCTTTCTCAAAGAGTGCTATGTTACGTTGTAGGTAGGTAGGTAGGTAGTTGTTATAAAACAAGATTTCAGTTCTAGGTTAGACATCTCTAGTCAGAGACTTTTTGAAAAAAATAAATTACCATTTACTTATTAATAATATATTATTCATATAGGTACCTACCGTACACGAGGATTTAATGAGAGTAACTTATTGTTTAATATTAAATTTGTAGAGTAGGTACATTAGAAATGGACTGTATGTCATGATATATATACGATTTTAAGTTATATATATATATTATTATTATTATAAATATAAATGTATAAAACTGAAACTTTTCTGTCAGTACTTTTGTTGAATACGTATTTTGGTGCTATGATATTTTGGCTTGGCTAATGTAGTGTTTAATTGTACATACAATACATTTTTTATTACTTATTTATTGGCAATTGTACCGGATTTATCTTTCGTTGTTAGAAAACTTATTGTTTCCGAGTCCAATGTTGTGTATAATTATTTTGGTTTGCAAACGATAACGGTGGCTTAGCCATCTTGAACCTAAATCGCTTTAATTAATTAGCGTAAGTTGTAATTAATTATCTATATTTATATATTTATGTATCGATGGAAAAGTTTCAAAAGACTTACACCTCTCACTGTCTTATTGGTTATAATAATCAATGGTGCTAAATAAATACATGATAAATGACAAGTGGCTTTCTTTTCTAAAACTTCAATAACATACTCAATAGGTTGTACTTTTTATAAAAAAATATATCTATTGAGCTTAGCCTGTCACAGCCATAGACAGTGAGGGCAGTGTAATATTGTTTGTTTTATAATATGGTGCGATTATACCAGGCTGTAAAATTTTTAATACTTACATGGAAAACACGCAATGAAACTTCTGTCTTTGTTTATTTACTTATTTAAAATACGCTGAACTTTTTAATCTGTATTGAACAGATTTAATTATTCAATGACGCTACTTAAAATACATTTTTTTTTTATTAGTTTTGGTCAGAAATAACCTATATTATAATTTACAATAATATGTTTTAATTTATAGATGTCAGCACTAGGTCCAAATATACCAATGTAATATTTGAGATTAGATTCATAATTTTATAACGAAACTTATTGAAAATTTAATCGAAACTCTTATAAATCAATGCTATACTGTTACAGGAGAACTGTTTGCAAAGAGATTCTCATAATATTATATAAATTAACATAATTGTAAGTTACCTACCAGTGCTGCCCTCTTTTACAAAGTAATAGAAATGAATGAGGCATGTTTTATTGCGTGATTGGTGATTTGCCAGGGTGTAACATACTCCTGTGATCTCAATGTATGATTGTTAATTAAATACATCCCTTTATAAACGATGTTGTGATGGTCGCAAATTCTAGATTTCTAACTCGTCGGAAATGGTATCCGCCATATCATGATATCCAGGGACACCGTTTTCGACGACACCACGAAAGCTTACTGCCACGTCTGAGAGAGTGTTTAGTCCTGTGATGGTTTTGTGATATATATATATATTTTTTTTTAAACCAGGCACAGTTAAATACAATAGAGTGACATTAACATACGTCTGTTATGTGTAGACACTGTGTCGAATATTTAGAATGGATGTACAGTAAAATTAAAGATTTCTTTGTTTGTATTATTTGTTACAATGCATAGATGAAAAGGTATTATTGTAATGTGATAGGAAATATTATTTCGCTTTTTAGATACTAAGTCTGATTATGTCTAGGAAGACTTAAAATATGTAACAATGCTGATAAAAGCCATAGAATAGAATATTTTTTTACAGAAAAAGCTGACTTTAATTTGAATAAACTTAGTACGGGATATTGGGACTATCCTGAATGTCAACCCTTTTAAAAAATACCTCACAAATTAGTAAAGATATCTCGAAGAAATCGGTCCATGTATGTATATTTAAAAAAAAAGTTCACTAAGTTTGCGGCAAACAATTTGAACAAAACCATAGACAATGAAGTTTGCACAGCAAGCGCTTCCATACGTGAAATTGTTACTGCGCAAGTCAAGTATGTATTAGAATCGTGATCAGATTATTTGTCGGTCTAAATAAGAATGTTGTAATGTTTAGTGCCAATCGTAACAGCGTCGAAGATGGACTGTATGGCAATGGCAGTAAGATTTGAATGAAACAGAATTTGCTATTTAAAACTTGACTAGAAATACAAAAGCGGACATTGTCTATTCAAAGTTAAGGTTTAATGGATTGTTTTCTGGTCAGGTTTTTGTTCAATTTTATCATTAAACTGTCGTGGAATCTTGATGATTTCGTAAATATAACATTGAAACACTGAAGTGTTACTATGTATCATTATTATAAAGACTAGATATACCGGTGTTTTAAGTAAACTAGCTTCTTACAAGATGATAGGTATTTAAAATTTTCAATTTAAAACTCTTTAAAAATATTTAAAAAATTTGTTGCAAATTTAGGTGAACGCAGTTACGTGAATTTGTCCATGAATAATTTTCGAATTTTGTTTTTTAGCAGCGGTTCCCAATCTTTTCTGGGCCCTTTAGAAAAAATAACATTCAATGCTCCCTAGTCCGTGATAGTTGTATGAAATATTATTGCGTACTGTCTGTAGCTACCGGCGGAATCGTTTCTTTTGTAATATTGAGGTTTAAGGCAATAATATAGTTTTGCCGTTACATACATTTTCGTTTTTATTAGTACTCAATAGAGTGAGCATTTTATCGTGATTCACTACAGGGTTTGTAGATGTCATTTTCCTAGAATGTGCTTTTATACCTCACTATTAAGGTTGTAGCAAACAATTTGAACAAAATTATAGAAAATGAGACTTGCGTAATAGATTGCTCGCTATTCTGTCTGCGCAAGCCGCTTTATGTTAAAATCTGTTCAAGTTATTTGCCGGTATCTAAAAAAGTTGATCTTTTTCATATTTATCAAGTATAAAATGAGAAAATATTATACAGATAATTTGTGTTATAAACTTACGTCTACAAGATTCAACAGTTCCACTGTTGTGAAATTTTATTATAGAAATATTCAAATATCCAATGATTAAAGTGTACTGAAGATATCGCAGTGGACAGAATTTATTTTGCAAATTTTAATAATATTTCTATATTAAATTGCAATAATATAGTAAATTACCTGGTGTCTAATCATAAATATAAATGTTTGCCATAAAAAAAAATTAAGATACATTTCTCATTTTATATTACACAAGTACATATGTTATTTTCAATACTTTTGTATAATTTGTATCGTGAGCTCCAATGAGTACTAATGCCAGTTTTATTCTCTTTTAGTGTACACGTTTTTTGTTATATTTTACATCATTAAACTGATTTACCCTCATAAACAAAATTTAAACAAAGAGATATATTAAATAACGGACTGTATATTTTAAATGAGGTAAAAGGGAGAGATTTTTATAGAAATTCGCATACATTTTTCTTTGTACATTTATTCTTTGTACAATACTTATATTTAGGTGTATATTACACTATATCTTCGTTAATTTTAAATCAATTTTGATAATTCTGTTTGCAATCGTTACAGTTTATATCCCTATTAGTCCCTTATTAATTTTTTCGCAAGAGATTACTTTTTTGAGGAGTAAAATCAGATATCATAAAGTTCAAGCATAGTTTAGTGATGTAAAATATAATCGTACTTGAAATATCTGCTCACTAGTGACGATTACCGATTGTAGGTATACTGGAACCATCAATGGGCATGATAAAATGCATTTACTTTTTAATATACGTTACAAACAAGTTCATTTATAGAGAAGCTTATACAATTTTTTGCGAAGGTGGCGCCACAGTGCTAGAACATAAACAACAGGAATTTAATTGGACATCTATTGAAGAGTCACTTGAAAACAATTCTTAATGGCGGGAAAATTTATTTTCCGTTTTTTTACTAATTTATTTTCTGGCCTATCACTACGAACTGAAGGAGAGATGAAATTTGTTTCCGTTATGACACAGTGACGCCTCCATCGGAATAAATCGGCAGTAAGTTTCTTTATTCGCGCTAAAGAAACAAAAGCATAGACAATGGTGCTTGCGCAGTGTACGTTTTTGTATGTGAAATTGTTACTGCGCAAATTGTGAATTAAAAATATGTCAGTATACATACAATTCCTTACAATATGTAATGTTTGGTTAAATCTTGCCCAAGTCACTGTATGCCTGAAGGCATTACCAATGTTATGTTCAGAAAGAGATCGTATTTTGATTTATTGCAGCTAAAATACCAGCTTGATTATGAATTGTGTGTGTTTATATCAGAAACTATATTGTGTTGCTATGTGAAACAACTCTAATCCAACGTAACATTCCTTTTTGAATATGTTCATTGGATTAATAAATACTGAACAGTGACAAAAAACAGATTGTATGATATTGTACCTGATAGATTAGAGTTATAAGATTAAAATAAATGTTCTGTTATGCACACACATGTCCGTAACATGTGGTTTCGAAGTGTGGTTTTACTTGAATATAATTATAAAGCTTATAAGTACCTTGTGGAGCAATAAAATGAAATGATTTCCAAACATGTGTTTTATTTCTTCAGTTATCCTGTTAATAAAAGAGTTTAATTTCATTAAATCATATGTGTATAGTTTTGAATTCACCTGATTTGGAACGACTGTATATCTTTCAAGATTTTGAAAAATAAACAAATTTGAAGCACTCAATAACTTTCTATATTTTTTGTTTGTAATGGAAAAAAAAATACTTAACTGATTTTAGAAATTCTTTCTTAGAATGTTACATTATTAACCAGTAAAATAGGTTGTGTTTTATTTAGAAAGAATCATGTGAATCGGAGACGGGTGGCTAATTTAAAAAAAAAATACATTCACGCTAACTTTTACTCACGACTTTGTCCGAATGACCAGGATATATAATAGCATATGTTAATCTCCACTGGTTGACTATTCTATAATAATTGGTTAAGCCGTTCAAACGCCAAGAGGTTAAAAACAATCTCGCTTTCACAAAATATTTGCATAATATTTCTATTTCTAAGGATTTCAGCCAGCAAGCAAGCTATATAAAATTGATAGAATTTTCGGCGTCATAATTGGTATTTTTACAGATAGTGATAAAGATTGACGACCTTTGAGATTGGTTAGTGTCGCAATGCTGTTGCCGGCGTCTTCCAGCTATCGTCCAATGACCAACAAGTAGAAAGCGCCTGATTGTGCACGTGAGCAAGCAATGTGAAAAACGTTTAGCTGATGTTTTATCAATTTTGATTTTAAAATTTATTTTCGGGAGTTTTTTTTTATTTATTTTTAATGGGTGATAATGAAATGGTAACCCTGTCCGCGCTATCGGTATACGCTAGCAGGGTACCAGTGAAGGATAATAGGTGACGATGAAAGCAGGTCATTTAGTCCATCGTGACGAGTTCCACTAGAATTAACCACGATGGTTTTCAGTGAGAACCGCGTGGAGGCCGACCTAATAGAATGTATTGTTAACAATGGGTCAATAAGACCCCATTACTAACAATCACTTGCCCCCCATTTGAATACGGGACCTATATTATGCCAATATTTAATCTTATTTAAGATGCAATTTTTTTATACAACTTAGAATGGCAATCAAGCTGACGGCCGACCTGATGGAAAGTGATAACCGTCGCCTATAAACATGAGCAGTACCATGGACATAACAGAGTATACTGTTTCGCCAATGATACCCCCATGCGTTGCCATTCCTGAGGACTCAGGTGTTATTCCTCTGTACCCTGTAAATTCACGCCATATCCCACCCTTCAAACCGAAACACCGCCATGCAAACACAACTGCTTCACGGTTGAAACACGAATGGAATGAATGTTATTATTATTAGTAATTCAATACAAATATTTATCTTAAATAAATTTTATGCGATAATATAGCGCCTAAAATATTGTAGAACCTATATGCCCAACACAACACAATATATGACAATAAAATAACAGGCGCCTAATCCCTGTCGAGAATGAACAATTTTTATTTTTTTGGGCCCCTGTTTTCAAGGGATTTTGGTATGATTCATCATCTCAGTGACCAGCAGCGGACAGCACTGTTGGTTATAGGCCTCCCCCATAGACTACCATAAGGAACGGTCCTGAGCCACCTGCATCCAATAACTCTCTGCAATGTATTTAAGTTCGTCGTTCCACCTAAAGGGTCTTCTCAAAGCCCATAACACCAAATTTAGCGTTAAGTTATATTTTTAGACTTTCTGTTTAACATAACTTGTTATGTGACGCAACTGTTATGTAGTATGAAATTATTTAAATTTGACTATGACGTGGTTAGGAGCCTTGAGTAAGTCATGCTCACTAAAATGTCCAAACAGTTGGTGGCGTGGTGGGCCGGGTGATTGAGTTCCCTGAAATATTGTTGACCGCAAAGATGGCTAGTTCCCCCGTCACACTCGTTAACGGGTACTGCCTGCAGGCATTGGTCTGCTCTGGTCATTGCAACCGATTTATTTTATTGATTTGTTTTAATTATATACTATATATTTTAAATTTTATGATCTGATACCGCTTAGTAGTTTGTATTGACGCATTATTTATATAGTTAAACTTTTCAAAAAAAAGCAATAACTGAATTTTTTGCCCGATTTTTTGGCTAAAATTGCGTTCCTAATGGGCGGTAATGAAAAAATGACTATTCAAAAATATTTAAATCCCAGTTTATTTAAAATAAAAAAACTTTTTTATTTTTTCCTATCAGAAGTTATGTATGTGGTTTCTATTCATCTATATTTTATAGATGTTTATAAACGTATTTATATTATTTATTAGGTTTTACCAGAGGGAGACTTTGTACATAAGTCGATTGCTTGGGTACCTCTGTCCCATTAGTGTTTCAACCGTGAAGCAGCTGTGTTTGCATGGCTGTGTTTTGGTTTGAAGGGTGGGATATGGCGTGAATTTACAGGGTACAGAGGAATAACACCTGAGTCTTCAGGAATGGCAACGCATGGGGGAGTATCATAAGCGAAACAGTCTACTCTGTTATATCCATGGTACTGTTCATGTCTATAGGCGACGGTTACCACTTTCCATCAGGTGGGCCGTCAGCTTGTTTACCAATCTAAGTTGTATAAAAAAAAAATAAAAAAAAGAGGTACCAGAGTGACCATTAATAGAAAGGTATGTAAATGTACACTCATTTAATAGTGCTACTGAGATTTTTATACATAAAATTTTTTTCAAAGATGTAATCTAATACGCAACCCACTATCTGCCTTGATAACCTTACAGATAATTTGTTTTCATAACTATCTACGAATACTTGTAATAAACATATTTGTATGATGTATTTATTCACTGTGCTAATTACTTTAATTTATCAAGGTTGTAAAACAAATAAACTTTAGCAATTACGATACACGTCAACAAATTAACAGCAAGCACTTTGTCCGAGCGCTAAATTGTTATCTCACTTATTTTCATGTACGTTGCCTTAATTTATTTGTGTAGGTAACGAATTCATGAATTCTATTACTCCCCGAAGGTTGATTGGGAGAGTGCTTTTAGCTTATTAAGCCCGTTTTGTGTAAATTATAATGTAGATAGAGGCATATGTGTGGGCTTATCACGCATTGGAAAATATTGAAACAGGATGTTAGAGATACGGAATTTATTTAAAGAAAAAATAAGTGTAAAGACAGTAAATAGAACTGTCCTTACGGAAGTAAGGGAGGGAAACCTGAGTGGGTACATTGCTAGCAATGTATCCACTTAGTAAGTCAATCTCTACGCAGTACGCAGTAGTATAAAAAAAAAGTATCCCATAGAAACCAACGTGATTAATTCGTAATGAATTCAGCACGATTAGCTAACTGACCTGCTCTCATCCTCACCTATCATCACTGGTGCCCCGCCAGCGTATTCTAATAGTGCAGGTGGAGTTAACATTCCATTATCATCCATTAAAAAAACTGTGTCCATCCAGAATATTCATTTATATTTACAAATAGGCTCATTTAGAAGGGTACCGGATGGGCCGTGCTCACCTCAGAATAAAGGGTAAAGCTTTAATCTTTAATCAAAGACATTATTTTATTTTATTTTTTATGCAACTTATAGTTACATCAGACAGATCAAGGAAGGAATTGGTTTCGTGTTGTATCAAGAGGTGAAGAGACTCGCTGAAAGTCGCAGCGAGTGGCAAGAGTTCCACCGAGAGCGCAGCTCTTAAATAGGATAGATATGCTACATATATGGTACTGCTCATGTCTATAGGCAACGGTTACCACTTTCCATCAGGTGGGCCGTCAGCTTGTTTGCCATTCTGTTGTATAAAAAAAAAAATACGCCGATTATTTTGCACAAAGGGAGGATTTGGGCAAAATCATTTAGATAGAAAGGATATATTTATTCTGTCCACAAGTAACTTGTATGTTGTGTTCCGGTTTGAAACTTCCAAAATAACAGTAAATTACTGGGTGACTCAAGATCACGATAATAGTTTGAATGTCGTGCGAGTACCCAAAACCTGTTGTCGTTGTTGTAAATGTAGGTATATGGTATGCAGTTTCTTCTTACCATTAAGAGGACATACACCTTTGCAACCAATGTTTTCAGACCAATTTAACAAGGTAACGACCATTTACGCATCGCTACTGGACATTGTCTTTTTAAAATGTCCATAAAAGGATAATATTAGTTTACTATCACCACGTCAGTCAGGGTTTTATTGGATGGAAATGGAATGGTAATCTCGTCTGCGGTATCGGTATACACCGGCGGGGCACCAGTGAGAGATGACAGGTGTGGATGAAAACAGGCCGGTTAGTCCATCTTGATAAATTCCACAAGAACTAATCATGATAGTTTCCAGCGATACCCACGTAGAAGTCGACCTGATAGAGTATATTGCTAGCAATGGGGCTGTTGAACCCTATTACTCCCTTCCTATTATGTTTTTCCCACCACACCAGCCAGTGGTCTTACTTTCTTTAGTAGTCTCATTCACTAGCAAATTTTGTGTTTTTTTATCCTAGTCGCTTTGGGGGGAAAAACGATTGTTAGTAATGGGGATTAGTAGCCCCATTGCTAGCAATATACCCTGTCAGGTTGACCTCCCCGTGGTTCCCCTTGGAAACAATCGTGATTGATTTATTGTTAAATTCGTCACGGGCTAATTGACCTGCTTCATCCTCACTGGTGCCCCGCCGGTGTAGTCCGATAGTGCAGGCGGGGTTACCATTCCATTGTCATCCATTAAAAAAAACCTGGTCGCTTGTATATTCTGGGGATTAATTGGAAAGAGAGCATTGGCTTTTTACAAAGCCCTCCCCTATGAGGGGGTTTTACCAGTAGTGGTCACGCTAGGCAGGCGAGTTGGTAACCGCAGTTGGGTTTTGGTGATTTTTAGTAGGAATACCGTTGCCCATCCCTCGACCATTAACATGAACATGAAACGGACATACTAATGTAAACAATATAACTTTCGTCTGGTTTTGACACTGTAGAAGAAAGTATAGCGATCGCTCACTGCTTGCAGATAGGACGACGATAAATGCGTTGTTGCGAAACGATGGATGCAGAAGGTGCATTTGGTCGGTTTCAACAGAACTTAACGAACATTTAAATAAATAAATATAATAATCGAAGTGTTTCTACGACAACTTCAATGATACTAGATTCTATTTTTTTGTTAAGTTCTATTGAAAAACTTTAGTTACTTGTGCCACTCTAAACGTAAAGTCCACTGATAAACACTCTCTTTATCAGTGGACATTGAATAGCCGAAATGGTGATAATTACATGTCATATTTGGCGATAAATCAAAGATGAATAATAAAAATATGTTTATATAAAACTGTTTAATAGAAACAATAATGACATTGATAAAATATACACTGGAATGGTATAGCATAGAGGACATGACCATAACACGTAATAAAATATAAATAGAGAATCTTACAAATAAAACTTAGAACCCATAGAGAAATATTTTGAGAGCAGCATATTATGAACTATTTGGAATTATAAATTAAAAGTATAAAACTAGACCAGACGCTAAACTCCTTGTGCAACTATACAATAGTCGTTTAAAATACCCCATACCTCAGTTCCGTAACCAAGAAGAAATTACTTCGCACTTAACTAATATATAGAGATATTTACAGTTTAGACCGAAGCTGTTCGATTTTACCAGTGGCATGACGCTGTAAATCTGTAAGCTTCATCGCGAGCCCCATATTTCCTTGTACCTTAACTTTTCCTTGGAAAAATGCCTTCTGGGGATTCAGTTTGCCAGAAATCAGATCAGCCACATCTTCGTCGTTAATTGTGAATGTTACATCGGGTTTCTCTTTGCCGTTGTATGTGACTTTTCCTTTGCCCTCTTTAGCGTTAATCACCCAGTATCCTTCCGCGCCATTGGGTCCGTTCCTCACTCTGAAACCGTAGATGCCTCGTACTTTCTCGACGAGTTTATCTTCGTCATCTTGCATAGCCTGTTCCAGGAATTGCATGTATTTGTATACTTTGAAGTCTTCGGGACTGTTGGCGATGGCGGCAACTTGGTTGGGGGAGACATTGGTGAATCCTTTGCGGTACATGGCTATAACGACTGCTCCACCGAGACCCAAGTTGTGTTGTAAGGCTATTTTGGCACCGGGCACCTGTAAGGTACAACGTATTGATTAATATTACAGTAATATTAAATTTTCGCTTTATGTTCATTCCGTTATTAACACCAAGGTGAATCTTGACATGTGTACATGCATGATGGACAGATATTGTATTTTAATTATTTGTAATGTAAGTAAATATCGTCGGCGAATGTGGAAAACTAAATTCAATTTTTGTACTTTAAGATCGTGATTTTTTTTTTAATTAGTGTTTCCATGTAATTTTTAAATTAAAATTTGTATTTTAAAAAAAAAAAAATCTTATAAAAATATCCTCCAGTTATTAAATCGTCATAGTCGTAGAATAGTGACGGATCTTTATATGTAATCTTTGTCAGATCCGTCAGTATTCTACGACTATGACGAAATATAATAAATAAACGAAAAAAAGTCAATCGTATACACGTATCTTTGTCAATGTAAAATTATGTTGTTCAATTATCTTAACTACAATATTATACATGTACGTACACAAAGGTGAACCGACTATAAGTTTAAAGTCTATCGAGTAGGCTTGGGTATTATTAACTGTATATAGTTGCAATATATGTATATTGACCAACTATATATTTGATATTATCTGCTAGCAACACAGCCGTTCAGGACTGGCTAATATCCAATATCGGACTCTATGCGATACACTCATATGTGTGAACCGATTTAGTAACAGATATGCCACGATAGATATTTTTTTGTACTGCTGTAGTAATTAGTATTACGATAGATATTGGCCTCATTTGGTTATAACCCTATAACATGCATGCACCCACATGCACGATGGCGATTTCTACTAAACGACCATAGCGGATATCGATATTAGTAATATCTAAAACAGATTCGATTTAAATGAATCATGAGTGCTTAATAGATAGAAGCTAAGATTATATAAGATATAAGTATTTCAATATTTGATTGAACGAACGGTTCGTGTGAGTAAACGGCCGAGTAAAAAGCACATTTATGACTACTTTCTTTCCATTATGCTATGTATTAATTTTCTAATATAGAATAAATAGTTATGTAAACATTTATTTTTTTAAGTTATTAAAAATAATAAGTGTATGTTATAAATAACAGTCAACAATTTAAAATTTAATAAAATAGAAGGTGTATGTAAGAGAGGCCGTGTAAGCCGTGCCTGAACCATTGTTTTTAACGGTACCAAATATATTTATTTTTTATTAAAGAAAACACAACAGCTAGGAAATTACATAATAAAAAAAAAACAGCAAAGACAATCAACTAAATTAAACTTAGAGTAACAAAATTATAGTAGTACACACATAAATATAAATATATAGTTACAATATCTGATATTCACGTTAAATAATCAGTATCGATTCGATATTGCTTAATGGCGATATTACACAACCTTACTATGGAGGTGCCTACCTACCCAACTTGAAGAACAAACGACTATGAGAAATGAAAATAAATATGTTTTAAAAATAATAAAATTGCAACTAGACAATGTTTGTTCATGGGAGATATTTGGGAAAAATGCTACGAGGGACCATAATAAGAGAAATTTTGTCTGTTTGTATGTTTATTCCGGCATTACGTAAAAACTATTGTACAAAATTGGATGCGGTTTTTACAGTTGTATTTCCGAAGGTCTGATATAAAAACTGATAATAATCATAATAATAATAACTGATGTATGATTTAACTTACTACGTCATTTAGAAGTAATTATTCTAATTGGTTTTCCTTCTTTTAAAAATCCACGCGTAGGAAAAGAAATCTCTCCTGTTTATAATATCAGTACAGATTATTAGGTATCCTTGAAGACTGAATTTATAGTACAGTTATATTATATATAAAATCTTATTTTAGTCCAGTTGGCATAGCCAATAATATGACAAATTTAACAAACAACTTTCTAAAACCGTTAGAACTTAGACTAAAAAACTTTCACTCGAATAAGACACTACGGTTAATAACATATATAAACCTAATATCACTTCATACTGGGGGCAATGGGATTGTTAGCAATGAAATTTAAGTTTCATTGCTAGTAGTATACGCTATTAGGTCGACCTCCACGCGATCCCCCCTAGAATAATTCTTGTTGCATACGTCACGATGGTTAACTGACCTGTTTCACCTATCATCCCTCACTGGCGTCCCGCCAGTGAATACCGTTATGTCATAAATGCATAAATAAAATTCGTATGATCCTGGCATAGAATGGACCATCCCTTCCTTTTCCATGGGTGTTGCACGAGGCCACTAAGGGAACTTAACGGTTGAGAAATGGGTAGCAACGTCCCTCTTAAAACATTACCAAAACCTAACTGCGGTTTCCAACCTGCCTGCCAAACGTGGCAACTACTGGAAAAATCTCCCAATAGGGGGAGGCCTATGTTCAGCAGTGGACAGTTATCGACTGATTCATATCAGTCATATGATCTTGACTGCATAAATAAATTGCTGATAAGGTATACAAACGATGCAAAATTGTTGTATTAAATATCAACGATAGCCACTTATTACTAACTTCACCTATTACTATCTTCTTGACTACTTAAAAGTGATAGGACACATAACAGAATCTAATACCATAGACAAATTATTCTTTTTTTATCCAAACACCGCGATTCGAGGCCGGTGAAAGTAAGAAAAGTTGATTTGTAGAATAACACAAGTACTTTTGATGTAAATTCAAAGAGAACGTCGTATTTCACCCGTATATCGTGTAAGTTATGTGATATCTATACCGATTCGCAAGCGATTTTGTTTATTTTTTTATACCATTCGATTGTAGAATCGATTCGATTGGTACATTGCATTCGATAGTGTACCATATAAATTTTGTGACAACGAAAATTATTGCTTTTTCGTTTGAAATAAATCACAAAACATATTTGGGTACAAGAAAAAATGGATTACAACCAAATACGAATTTTCATAGAAAACTGTAACCTAAGCATACATTGATCATTTTAATACACAAGTGTCTAATAGCCGTTCCATCACAAATGTATTGTTTTTATTTTTAAAATTAACTTTACAATATAGTTTTTTCTCCAATTTATTGAGTAACGCAATAAGTAATATAGTATTAATTATATATTTTGGTATCCTTTTACGTAGATAAGAAGAGTTTGGGCTCTTTTTGGCATTCGTGGCATTTTTGGCATTCTTTTTGGCTTTTTGGAATTCGTGGCAAAATACTCTTTTTATTTATTTACATTTGTAAATAAAAAAAACCTATTCAACATTCAACGCGTTGATATATTGACAAAGTTCGAAAATGGAATGTTTTGCATTGGTTTGGCCATTTGGAGAGGATGGATGAAAGAAGAATTACGAAAGAGATTAATCGATCACGAATAAAAGCGATCTCGGTAGGGGCCGCCCTATACACGCAGTATGTCGACCAAATAGGCGACCTGCTGAAGAAAGGCCAAATTAAAAGTAAGCAAATTAGTAAAGTACTAGTTTAAAAAAACAACCATAACCGGCGAGCATATATGAAAAGTTTGATAAATGTGGAGAAAGCGAAAGAGGTCTGTTTGAATCGAAGCAATTGGCTTTCCATTATTTCTGTTTACTCCAACGGAAGACAGTCGTAAGAGAAGTTTGTTACCTCTCAGTGCCTTAACCAATCATTATGGAATTGGGTGTAAACACAACACGCCCTATATGGGATGGAGGATCAAAACCACTTTTTATCCCGGTCACACAAGCAAAGTCGCGGGTAAAAACTAATGATAATATAAATTGACATAAGGGGTCAAATCTATCTTGTCAATTTAACTATATCTTACATACATATATGGAGCAATAACCTAGCATTGATAACGTTTATGCATAAAGATAACAGGATGCAATACTAACACGACATAAAATATGTTAAATTTATCAGTGAATTACATTATATTTATTAACTAACAAAGTATCACAAAATATTTTTTTAAATTCTATTATCATAAACGTTTTTATTTTCTTTTTTAGTTACACAGTTTTTGCACCAACTAGATACCGTCTTTTTTGCTTTTCCCTTCTACCCAAAGGTTGTCTGGAGATTGCTTTATTGATAAGACCGCTTTTTAAACTTTACACACACACACACACACACACACACACATATATATATGTGTGTTATTGGCTGTATTCATAAGAGACTTAGTATGTAAATTATTTTTTAAGAACTCTGGATTTTTTGTATATGTATATATATATTCTTTGATAGGTATAATAAAGAACAACGATGACTACTTCGTTCATCATACTCGAGAACGTTTGTAGGGACTGGTTTGTTCAATAAACATTACCTATTTTTCCCTATTTATTTTATGGTTTATAAGAAAAGGGGAAACTATGATAATTTACCTAATATATTCTAGTCTAGTCGAGTCTAAATGATCGCATTAAATCCTGTATCTTATTTATTTATTTAATTTTCTTTATGAAATGCAGCGTGAAAGTATTAAATATCAAAATTTAATGTATTGTTGATATCAATAACTATGCTATTGTTTATATTCTAAATGCCTTTTAAACTACTTCATACCTGATATAATTTAGAAAGAGTAACTTTTGCTGGTTCTTCTTAACACAAAATAACATTTTCAAACCTAATTAATACTTAGTGCAATAAAATAATAATAACATTAAAGTCTTGTGTAAACAAGCATATTTAAATTTCATATCTTATCTATAAATTTGTTGGAAAATAACATTGTATATAAAAACAATGTTAATAACAAAACTAGATATTGTTCCGCAAAAAAAAAAAAAAACCACAAAACGTGACCAAAGTAATAGTGGACAGCAACTTCTCTATTCTTATTTTAAATAAATAAAATGCAACGATAGAGGACGAAATGTTCCATAGACAATTTATGATCAACACAAATAAAACATACGTTCTAAGTTTATGGTTGAAATAAAACTAATTTATTCAAGCCAGCGTTATTGACTCATTATATATTAGCGTATTAATGAAGTACCTATCTGCTGTATCATTGTTTAACCCGTCAATTTATACATAGATATATGCATACAAAATTACAAAAGGGAGCCATCACTTACAGTTTTGAGATTTCGTTATTAGAGAATGTACGAGTAAAATTGGCGATTCATGTCGAAAGTATTACACAATTTCTTGGAATTTAAAAAAATATATATTAAATATTTATAAACCAATAAAATTAAATAATTGTAATTACCTAAGCAATATTTTATTATATTTTTTTCACAATAAGAACGGTATTAATTCGAATTATTATTTAAAATTTTATGATTTCAAATTTCGAATGGCAATTATACGTCCACGCGGGAAGGGACTTACCTCTATGATAAAGAAAACAAAAAACTCCAAAATCTATGGATAAAGCCACTTTTAAATGCTAATTAAAAGAATAACATACAAATAGTATTGCAGGAAATAAGAGTTACATTACAATTGTAATACGCTAATAAAACACTAACCCCTTTATCCACAAAAACGTCTACATCTCGTAAAACTATTTAAGCTATTGAACTATTTTGTCTCTTTTCTCTTGTGCTATATTCTGAATTTGAAAGAAAGTGACAAAACAAAATAATAATTTAAATAAGATTTGTTTTAATTTTTATGAAAAAGGGTAAATAATTAACCTATATTGATATTTTCGCCAGAATCGAAGTAGCCACTTTATTGCAGTACAAAATCTTAAATTATTAACCGATTTAGAAAAAAAGGAGGTTCCCAATACGATTTTTAAATTTATACTCGTGTTGGTTATTTATAAATTATTGTTGGAATACTTAGGTTTTTTTTTATTAAATGTCTTAACCCTTAAATACCTGAAGTTTCAAATTTGATACCGAGGCTTGCATTGTTTCATTGTTAAATAAATTTAAATATTTTGATCACCGTAATGCCTAAAGTATCAAAAATGATACAAAATTTTTTTTTTCAAAATAAATATTTAAAAATATCGTTTTGATTTTTTTAATTATATTTTTTGATTAGGCTAACTGGCCTGTTTTCATTCTCATCGATCACCCTTCACTGGTGCTCCGCCAGCTTATTCCGTTAGTGCAGGCGGGGTTACCATACCATTTTCACTCATAAAAAAAAATCTACATACATACATACATAGCTCACAGCTGACTCATAGACCTATAACAGTGATAATCATTTTTAATCGCTATCACATAAGGATGTTTCTTATTATCAAAAAGACCTTGATGAAATTATCGTGATTATTTATGGATTTTTTTTGTATAATTATACCTATTAAATATTTGATAACAAAGTCAGTGCTTACATTTATGCACGACCTTAGATCTAACAAATATAGATGAAGCACGGACAGTCAAACGTACCAAAAAAACAGTTTGCCAATTGTTGACTGGTACGTAATTTCTTTTTAAACGAAACAAAGCTAGTCATCTTTACATTTTACATTTTAAAAAGTGGTTATTGTGACATAACGATAATAGTTGGACATATAGTATCGCTAAGTTTTTTGTAGTTATTGATATTTTTTTCAATATTGTAGAACATACTTTTGTTCTATCACCAATAGTTTCTGCAGCGCACGCGACGAAAGATATTTTATAGCATTTTTTACATCTTGAGTTACGTTACTAAAATTTTAGTAAGGATCCCTAATTTTTTCTAGCAATAAATATAGCCTATGTTATTCAGGATGAATGTAGCTTTCTAACGGTGAAAGAATTTTTGAAATCGGCAAAGCAGTTTTTGAGTTTATTCATTACAAACATATACACAAAAATATAAATCTTTCCTCTTTATAATATTAGTGTAGGTGTAGATGTAGAAGTGTAGACTAGTGTAGAAATAAAACATAAAAAATACAATAGAGTTGAGAACTTCCTTCTTTTCGAAGTCGGCTAAAAAGGATGCATATGATTTCAATTTTATTATGACATCCCACTGATGTTGTGACGTCACAAATGTTTTCTCATGAACCATTTTTAATGGCAAATTTTGATAAAATTGTGATTGGCATATACAGAACATGCGTGGAATTTGCACTTCGAATGACTTTGCCCCAGTAATACATTCTGAATAATTAATACGTATAATAAAATCGTAACTGCTCGCTGTCTGTACATGGAAGATATATAAGAAAAACTATTATAGAGAGGCTTTACGAACGCAATAAACACACAAAATAATGTTTTTTTGAATTTTCGTCTGTTTGTCTGTACGTTTATGCAACGCTAATCTCAAAAAAAAAATAACCAATTTGAATGCAGTTTCCACTAATGCGCTACATTATCAGTTTGCTCCACTTAATATTTAGCGTCTATTTCAATCGGTTCATAAATAAAAAAGCTATATCAATATAAAGAAACAAATATAAATATACAGCAATAAGACCGCCTTACTGTACTTATACAATTGTATCGTTGTATTTGTAAATTGTTTTGTTTATTTCCTATATTGTATAATGCAAATAAAGTATACTCATTCATTCATAAAATGCTATAAAATTATCGACCAGTCGAATTGGCTGAAATTTTTTTATTATATATGAGTGTGTATTGATTTTTAAAAATTCTGTCTATACGTGCGAAGCAGAGTCGGATCGCTAGTTTGAAATAAACGACATATGTAAAACCTAATTTCTGTATATAAATAAGTTAATATAAGCAATTGGTTAATCATTGTTATTCTGGAATAGTCTAGGTACTAACCAGTATTGCCAACCTAGACTATTCCGACAGGTCATTAACTGTGCATGTGAGTGTGGTTACGCTCGCATACATAATAACAGCAGGACGAACTAACCGACACGCCCTATACTTATTAATTTGTTAATTTTTATACTTAGATTATATAGACAGGGTGTTTCCTTTATAACTTCTATATTTATTTTGTCTACTCATTTTATTTATTAAACAATTTAATAAATATAAAAAATATAGATACGTCAAGATATATTATATGTATATATAAGAATATTAATAAATAAAAAACAAATCAGCTAATTTGACAAAAAGTTGACCCGTATTCGATGTACACAAAGATATATAATCAAAGTGTTTATTATACACTAGTGATCCGAGCCGGCTTCGCACGAGTAGACAGAAGTTTCAAAAATCAATACATATAATAAAAAAAAAAAAGTTTCAGCCAATTCGACTGATCGTTTAAGCCGTTTCTTAGATCAGCGTGCACAAACGTACAGACAAACAGAATAAAATTCTAAAAATGATTGTTTTGGATTCTATGACGTTCTTTAAGCCTCGCTATAATAGTTTTTCTTATATATTTTCCATGTACAGATAGCTAGCAGTTACAATTTTATTATATCTAGGAATAGTATATAATAATTTAAAATTACCACTATTAAATATTACTTTCTCGAAAATGATTTAGTTTTACGAAAACAATAGGTACCTACAATGTGTTCGCAGGCAATTTTCTATGCCTAACATTTGATAACTGCTACTCGAGATTGTTTATCGCGACATTTGACTCGTCGTAACTTTTGTAACTACACATAATATCGGACTAGGACTTTGAGACTGTTTAGAAACATGAAAGGAAGGTCGATTCATTATAATACTCACAATGACAAACCTAATGGCCCACATGAAAACACCATTATGAAATGAATGGAATGTAATGTAATGCCCATGGTGCTAACTAGCCCTAATTTTGGGGAAGGGATTGTTGGTAATGCGAACTACCAGTTCCATTGCTAGCAATATCTATATATACCCTGTCAGGTCGTCCTCCACGCGGTCCCCCCTGGACACCATCGTGCTAAATTCTAGGTGTAACATCACGATGGGCTAACTGCCTTTTCACCCTCACTGGTGCACCGCCAGCGTATACTGTTAGCACAGGCGGGGTAACAATTTCATTATCATCCATTAAAAAAAACTATCCCTAATTTTTCGGATTTGTCTTATTGCCCAGAGTACTTTTTATTGAGTAATACTGGTGTGCATAAGTATTTAAATAAGGTTTCGGAAGTCTTTTGCCATATTAATTGTATGATATCTAATTAACTTCAAAGTTCATTGTTTATCAAATACTAAAAGGGGACTCTATCAGTCCTGAAATTACTGATAAGATACTATTAAAGTAATATGCAAAATGAAGTTATTAACTGTAGAAATCATATGAATAAAACAAACACAATAAGCTCCAGTCTCCCAAATAACATGAATCCTTGAACAAAGTGTAAACTGAGATGTAATCAATATGAAATAGTGAAACGCCCAAGTCTCCCAAGTGACACAAACCCGCAAGACAATAACTCTTTTAGGCTGCACATCATTAACAAACCTGTCTGGGACCAGCCTCTCCTCGGAGCTGCCACACGAGTTCAGCACACTGAGCCAGACCAGTCGCTCCCAGCGGGTGCCCTTTAGCTATTAATCCACCACTCGGATTAACCACCACTCTGCCCCCATATGTGTTGTCACCAGCATCAATAAACTTCCCAGCTTCACCTTCTCCACACAACTGTAGACCTTCATATGTGATCAATTCATTGCAGGAGAAGCAATCGTGGAGTTCCACTACATTAATTTGGTTGGGAGATATGCCTGTCTTTTCGTATAAACGTTTAGCAGCCAGTGCTGTCATGTCAGTGCCAGCTATTTTCATGAGACTGTTTTCTTCGAAAACAGCAGCAGTATCAGTAGCCATTTCCATACCAAGGATTTCTACGGCCTTGTTCTGTAAGCCGTACCGGATGACAGCTTCCTCAGACATGAGGATAGCAGCACCGGCTCCATCACTGGTTGGGCAGCACTGCAATTTAGTTAGTGGACCATAGACCTTCCTGGAGTTCAAAATCTCCTCCACTGTGTATTCCCTCGTGCTTTGGGCGCGGGGATTCTTTGCACCATGACGGTGATTCTTTGCAGCAATCTTAGCAAAGTGAACTTCTGTTGTGCCATATTTCTTCATGTGCTCAATACCTGCGTTCCCGAAGAACTGTGGTGTCATGGGCGCGGGCGCTATCTCAGACAGATCTGCCATTTTCATGACGTGCCTATCCATGGGGTTTGTTCTATCATTAAATGCACCGCCACCTAATGGACCGGCTGCCATCTTTTCAAAACCTAATGCTAATATTACATCACTATTCCCACCTTCGATAAGCTGTTTGGCGAGGAAGAGAGCATTTGAACCTGTAGAACAATTGTTGTTGACGTTGTAGATGGGTATACCGGTCATGCCGACTTGGTACAAGACACGCTGACCGCATGTGGAATCTCCAGAGACATATCCACAGACCGCCTGTTGAATAATCTCGTATTTGACACCAGCATCCTTAAGGGCTTCCTGGACAGCCTCTTTGCCGAAATCTGGATAATCTCCACCAGTGTTAGGTTTGACGAACTTCGTCATTCCAACGCCAACAACGTACACCTTTCTAGGCATTTTGTAAATATAATAATTACCTCTTGACTGTGACGACGACGAACACGAACTGGTACTGGTTAAAATAAGCAACAAAATTTATGTTAATATTCTTGCTAATTATTTGATGATAATTATATCAGATAATGAAAATTAATCTAATAATATTATCACTAATACTTTGATTGTGAAGTCGAGATTAAGCAAAACTAGTCTATTGTTCTATTCCATGTAACAAAATGAAAGAAAATTACTATAAACGAGCGAATCGAGTTCATAACACACTGAACAAATTGATCAAAGTACAATGAATGAATGAATGGATTATGAGTGAATGTTGATTTGCACGTCATGGAAAGATTGAATAAGACCATAGATATTTTACTTTTTTTGCTTATGGTCCGTGTAGATGGGTGCTGAGCGATTCATCACCGAACGTCATGTAAAATATTTATTTTCGCCTGTAAACTTGTAAAATAGAGAAACTAAAAAATCGACTTCAAGCAACAATAATAGGAAAGGGACAAACGGTGAATTACAAAAATATCTTCATCCGTCGAAGTATACATCTGGAGTCCTTTCATCCAGATAAATATATTTCCTCTATTGGTCTAGCAAATCTCAAGTATAAACGAACAGATTTTTTTGTTTATTTATTTTACTAGTTGCAAAATATTGGCTAAAGATATTGGCAACTAGAAAACTATATAGTGAAGTTGCTTTTCTGAATTCAAAACTGTAATAAAACAAGACATTAACATTTTGTAAAACACATAATAGTCAAATTTGAAATTTTGAGTTATTAGAATAATTTATATATTATTTCGGCTAAAATAAATTTCTCTAGTAAAGAACAATGGCTTTGGACAAACAAAGAATATTAAGTGAATTAGGTAGTGTTGTGAACCAACTTCAGAGTGCTGATTGGTAAGTAATTGTGTGACGGACTATAATACACCAACGCGTGGTTATTGCGCCGTTCTGTGGAGACTGCGGTTTTCGTACATAAACTGTTTCTGATAATTTTTACATAACATGTAAAAATATGAACAACAAATCGATATCTGAGAATGACAGTTTTGTAAAGTATATTTTTACTCTCAGACCGAAATATTATAATATATAATACCAATAAGGCCTCCTCGTTTCTAATTGCTGTGCCCTACAGGGTCTACAATGTACTGTATCAATTACTAACATCTTTTATAATATTATTGTAGAATGCAATAAATAAATTGAATTGAATTGAAAAAAAAAGTGGCAATGCACGCTTTGCTACTTATGACCAAAATAGGTGCCAGGAATGAACACTCTATGAACTCTATAGCCATATGAATAATTGGTACTTAGATGATAGACTACGAAAATATAAACCAATGTACAAATAGATCGAACTTAAAAAAATAAATTTAAACCTAATTAAATCGCATCTGTATCATCACATCGTATTGCCGTGTGGTCTCGGCATAGACAGATAGGCGACCCCTTCCTTTCCCGTGGGTATCGTAAAAGTCGACTAAGTGAGGACGAGGGATGGGCAGCAGCGTCCCTCTTAAAACATCTTTAAAGCCTAACTGCTGCGATTACCAACCCGCCTGCTAAGTGTGGCAGCTACTGGCAAAACCCTCCAAGGGGGAGGCTTATGTTTAGCAGTGGACTTTAACTGGCTGATATGATGAAATCGCATTTACCAATAGAGTTCTTAGTTACTTATCTATTTGTATACTGGATTTATACGATAGAATATTTATAATGTAAGTCAAAAAGACGCTGACAAGATCTGACAATTTAATAATGGCTCAAAAATTATTTAATTCGACACAGAATATTCCGGCAAAAGACCTAATATCGTTTCATAATGTGACCCAACCGAGAATCTATAGGAAATAAATTTTATAATTCATATCTACCTATGATGTGACTAATCGATACAGAGGATTAAATTGCTCAAGTTTTATATAGCTCTTAGTTAATTGAACTGTTGGAGTTTTTTCTATTATTAGATTTATTTTGCTATGAAACAGCAATTTGTATATTGCAGATAAATAATATTTTATTTCATTATTTAAATTTTTCAGTGGTTGTATGGGAAAGTTATTCTCGAACCCTTGTCAAGGTACTACCACGGGTGCTTCATTACCGACTTGTGACGGATATCGACGAGGATGTTGTCATGGACATCACCAGGGATATAGCTCACCCTGTGCTGGGGAACCATGCTCTAATATGAATTCTATGAACTATTCTATGAACCAACCATGCATGGGTCAGTGCAATCCACCGAAACTTTACGCAGATACTTATAATTATTTAAACAAAAATCTTATGCAGCCTACGATCAAAGAAGTATATAATGATTTAAAAACAATCACACCTGCAAACACTATAATGAATAATCCTATGGCAAGACAATTAGGCCTCTCTCAAGGTTATGCTAGTATGCCGGCACAGAGTAATATGGTAGGCACGAACCAAACTTCTACGTTAGGAGGCTCCATGAATCAAAATAATGCAGAGAATATGGGTGGAATGTCTGTTGGTTATTCCTTGCAAATGGATAATTCAGCGAAATCTCAACAAATGGGTAATATGCAAAACGTTCAATCACCGAATCAAACCAATCAGCCACCAAGGCATATGAGCCAGCCAATGGGATATATAGGTGGAATGGGAGCTCAAATCGTTAATATGATGACGGGCGATAGCGGATCTAAAAACAGAATGTCTGGGCAGGTTGATCAATTGGTGGAACCTATCCAAAGCAATACTTCGTCGTCTCTAAATGTAAGTGGATATAGTACTGGTATAAAAACGATGGACATGAATTACGGGCAACAAAATCATTCAAATTTACAGAGTCCGGTTTCTCAATATCCGCCTAAGTTAAATGTTTATCCTAAAGATCTAATTCATAGTAACCAAATTTCAAATTACATGACACAAAATAATTTAACTTCTGGGAGTCATGGAGTTGACCAAATTAGTAATATGGAACATGTGAACTGGAATCCTGCAGTTCAACAAATATCAGCTCCAAATCCCAATATATACGGTCAACACACTCCAGGAATCACAAAGTTTAATGAGATGTTCCCAGGTGTTAAGCAAGGTGGTGATCTTGGATTTGATCCAATGGCTATAGCCATACAAATGAACCCTGCTAACCAACAGAAAGCAGCTATGGATACAATACAAAAATTGATGACTGGGAACGGGACAGTTCGTGATTCAAATCCTGCTGTAATTGCCGCTAATGCTGCTAATATTAATATTCCACAAGGGAATAATATGTCGATGCATGCAAATAATCAAATGCTAAACCAAAAAGTCTCTGATCAGCAAGTCTCCCTAACTAGTCACATAACAAATCGATCTCAACCAGTGCCGCAACTAATTACTAATCCCAATAAAATGATTAACAATCAAATATCGCATCAACAAAATTATGCAACTCAACAAATACAGCAACATCAACAACAGAAAATAGTAGAGCCTAATACTAACGCTATGATACACTCATTAAATCTTTTAGATGGAAATGAAACAATTGAGAATCTTAATGCTCAAACACAACGGTCTATGCTTCTTGATAAAACTTTGCCACCTTCAACTTCCATTCCAATGCCGAAAATGACAAAAGAACCAATATTTCCGGTAAACGCGTCAAGGAACCAAACTATTTATACGAATCCACAAAAAACTTATCAATACAATACACTTGGGCAACCTATTCAAATGATGTCGGCGAAAATGTATCATTCTTCAGAGCCGCCACTACCTCAAACGCTATCACCGCAGCCATTACTTACAAAACCAAGGAACCAAATGAAATATAGTAATGTAAAAAACACTATTAGTAAGACATCTATTGCTGGAAATAGAGCAGTAGGTAAAACACCCAGTAGAAGCCAATTGCAACAAATTTATAATCAGTATAAGGGTTCCCAGTCCTTTACTCAGCAGAACATAAAACCTTATTCTCAAGCTTATGATAATGGCTTAACTTACTCTGAGGGGAATGTCACGCATAGAATTGCAAGTCCACCCCACCAAACGCCTATAGTTGAAAAAGTTGGTGGTGACACTATAGCCAATAAAGCTTTAATAAATATTAATGCAGCAAATAAAGTAAAACAAATAATGGAACAAATTGGTGACGTACCGGCAACCAAACCTTGTGAAGATAATACTCTTGATAAGGTAAATATATCACTTTTCCTATTACTATAAATTTGAATGGTCATTTTTATGAAAAATAAAAAAAAAAAAACTTTTTCAACCGTAAAAAAATCTACATGGGAAAAAATTCTATCGTATTTTATATAATTATCACAAATTGTTGAAGATATCGAATGACATGAAACATGTTATTAATTAAAAATAATATTATTGTCCATTTATTTAGTATCATTAATCCAGATACCTCTCTTAAATTAGGTTTGAATTTGTATATTGGCACATTCATAGCTATAATATATAGAGTATATATGAAGGCAATATTATAGTTTCTATAATATCAAACATTTATTTTCTCTTATCTCAGTCCTTTTTACCTATTTTTCATAGAGCTTAAAGATTATTTTCTACATTTTCTTGCAGTTCCATACTTTGTACTCAAAATTTAAATGTTATTTTCTTGTTTAAGGCAACACCTATAAAGCAATCCAAGTTAAGAAATGGTTTACAAGACATGGTTTATACTTCATATCCTACTTCTACAGCTTGGTCTTTTCATGGTAATCGTGCACCATTGTCTCCTGGATATAGATACAAAGCTTATTAACAAATACTGTTGTCATAATGAAAATACCTACAAGATATATATTTTATTGTAGGTAATTTGTATGTTATTAAATTGATTCTGTTTAATGAATATTTTCATGATTTGTAATATTCATGGATTTGTTTTAGATAATTAAATATGTTTATAAAATTGTCTTCTTTATATTAAAAAAAATGATAACTACACAATTTCTGTTATCCAATCCACACTGATGGATAATTATCATAGATGTATTTACTTCATAATCTAAGGTAATTACTACGTAATCTGTGTATTATAATTTACTACGCTTAGATATTATACTAAGTTATATTACTAGGTACATGTAAAAGCGATGCAAGATATTTGACAGTTTACGGCCTCATTCAAATTCAAAGATTCTAAGAAGTGAATCTGTAATCATCTGTGGCAGATTTTTCCTTGTCTGTACTTTCCATAGACAAAATAGTGTAATAAAAAAAATCGTTGTTGTTGGTTGGTTGCGTTTCCTTGATTTTGCAAACGAATTTTGCGATTTTCTAGTCTTTGCTAGATATTTCGATTTTTCCAGTTGTCTTCAAACCTGGCTAGCAAGTGTGATCATAAGCGTTTGGCACATTTGCTTTCATTTAACACATATTTGTGCATATTCCTTGTGAACTGAATTAACTAACCATGTCTCTGTTTGGATCTCTGATGGGCGATTTAGAGGATGATCCATTTTATGGGTAAATATATAATTATTGTTGTGTATTTCATTCATATCATTGTGACTATAGAACAGTACTTATCTACATAATCATTACAGATTTATTGTATTAGTTTTTTTTACAGTTACTTTACTGCAACCGTGTAATGAATCTATTAATTTCCACAGCACTCACTTAAGGCACATGCGTCAAATGAACAACATGATGAATTCGTTGTTCTCTGATCCATTTGGAATGCTCGGCGGTGGTGGCCCACTAGCGCTGACTGGTTCCCGACATTCTATGATGCCTATAATGCCGCAGATGCCGTCCCTTAACAGATTATTTGCAGGTAAGGGTACTCACTGATCAATGCTCCTTATTGATTTCAAATTTTTTATCATTACCTAGCTATCGTAGTTTTTTGTATTTTTTAATGTAATCTTTATTTGTGGGTAGTTATACATTTTCTTTATTGTCTACACAAGATGGCTTATATTAACAAGGTTGGAATTATTGCATTGTCTTAACATATATTTGCATTTGATATTGGGTACTTAAAACTTATCAAATGCATAATATATAATGAATGTAATGTTTTATTGGCAATAAAAATAGTTTTTTGTTGTTACATTCTACTGTAGATGTTATATGAAAGTGTATAATGATTTTTGGGTATTGATTATCAAATATGCTGAAATACCTGAATGGATTTAAATGAAATGTAGTATGTAGAAGAAGCATGTAACTTAGGTGTATTCAGAAAAGTTGGATGTGGTGTGGTGAGTAAAAAAATATTTCGCATGTTGTTTTTAATTGTTCCATCAATATAAGTCAATGTTCTTAACAGTTTCAAAATATTGATTATCCACAAAGATATAGTCACAACAAATATGTAAAATTCAAAAAATGTGTAAAATAAAAAATTTGTTCAATGAATTGGTTTAATGTATTGATTTTTATTTCTTATGTCAATACTATAGCAAAGTATACAGATGCAAAATCTATGCTTTTGTATGTATTGACGGTAAATGACAATGAAATTGGGTCAGTTGGCTTAAATTGTAATAAATTCACCAACAATTAATAATAATAAATAATTTTTATTCAAGTAAACTTAGTAATACACATTTATGAATTTTAATTTTTTTTATAAACTACTAACCAGTTCAGAATACAATTTCACTTGAAAAAGAACGGGCAAGAAACACAGCTGTTGTTTTTTTCAAATATAAGTTAAGTTTATAACAAAAGAATTATGAGTGGATAAAATTATTATCACAAACTTTATATTTATAATGAAAAAGAAAATAAAAAGCTATCAAGCTACAATCACAGTGTTCTTGAACAGACTAGTCCGTACTAGAAGTACTCATTGGTAAAAACAACATATGGACCACATGCAGATTGATGGTGTGTATTGCTGACAATGGAAACATTATTGTCCTCCCATGCTAAAGTTATTAGTGTTTAATGAATGTTAATGGAATGGTAACCTCCCTTCCCTCTGTACTATCTGTATATACTGGCAGGACACCAGTGAAGGATGATCATTGAGGATGAAAGCAGGTCAGTTAGTCTATTGTGACAAATACAATAATAATGATAGTTTTAACCTGATGGAGTATATTGCAAGCAATAGGGTTACTAGTCTCTGTTGGTCACCAGTAACAGTTATTAATGTTGTCATAAACAATTTTTTTTATTTAGATATGGATGGATCTATGGGCACAGGAAGCTCATTTAGCAGCAGCACAGTTATAATGTCCAGCGGACCTAATGGCAAACCACAGGTAATTATGTTGAAATATTTTGTATACCTATATTTTTCTTTTCATAAGGCACTGTCAATTAAAGTGAAATCAATTTAAATATGAATTATATTTTCTAATTGTACTATTTTATTTTTGTAATATAATTTTATTTATTACTAGTTTTTACCACTGGCTTCATCCGCATGACTGGGATAAAAAGTAGCCCATATTTCTGCAAAGTTCCAGTTAACTTTAACAAGTTATTGTTTGACCTTGGTATTGATCTATTCCACACAAAACCGCATGCAATTAAATTGCAAGTGGCAAGGTCATTCTTTGGGTCTCGGCCTGCTGTACTAAATTTACTATTTTAATAATGTTGTTTTGCTTTATATTGTTTTTATTTTATTATTATAAATTAAGCTAAAAGGTGTCAAATGAAAATTTATAACTTTGTCATTATTATATATATAAAATTTCTTTTTTACAAATATATAAAAACCGATCGATTGTGTAATTACTATTGAAAACTATTCATGGCTTAACATAGACATAATTTGATTATGTATTGATTATGTATGTTTTCCCAAAAAAAGAAATTAATAAATAAACATCCTTCTTCTCCCCTTTTTTTTATGTATAAACCAGATTTCATAGTGATTGGTTAAACTGTTAAAGCACTATAATGTAAAAGTTAAACAAACTCACTTTCACATTTATTATATTAGTAAGGATTAGACTATTTTTATATTATAGATATATTATTTTTAATGAATGATAATGGAGTGGTAACCCCGCCTGCGCTAACGTTGTACACTGGCGGGGCACCAGTAAAGGATGATGGGTGACGATGAAAGCAGGTCAGTTAGCCCATCATGATGAATTGCACTAGAATTACCACAATGATTTCCAGGGGGAACCACATAGAGGTCGACTTGATAGGGGGGTATATTGCTAGCAATGGGGCAGTTAGACCCCATTACTAACAATTCCTTTCCCACCAGGATTAGACTCTTGGTAATTTACTACATAATCGCAAATCGATGTCGAAATATTAATGTAAAATATTGTTATATTCCAAAATTATATGCCACCTGATTAGACAGTTTTTATCACTCATTCATTATTGGAATATGATTTGTATGTTTAAATAATGAGGTCAGTTTTGATGCGCTATTTCCGTAAACATATCGTCATAGTCGTAGAATACTGACGGATCTGACAAAGATTACATATAAAGATCCGTCAGTATTCTACGACTATGACGATATTTAAGTAATATCGTCATAGTCGTAGAATACTGACGGATCTGACAAATATTACATATAAAGATCCGTCAGTATTCTACGACTATGACGATATATTAAATAAAGATGTACAACAGGCGAGCTTAAGAGTTCTCTTCCAGCAAACTCTGAGTGGAAAGGAGCATTAATTACCAGCGGTTTTGTGTGATTACTTTTATAACAACCATGATGATAAAACTGAATTTATAATAATTACGAATTAAATCTATTAGATATTTAGTACATACGCCTAGGTAAAATTTTAATTTTAGAGATGATAGAGAAACGGTGAAGAAACACCCTTAGTATTTAAATTTTTTGTATTTCCCATTCGTTTTGATTTTCCAATCAGTGAGGATTATTCCTTGTTGGTCCTGTTTTTGTAAAATCCTCACTTATATTTTATATGTAAAATGAAGTTTGTTTGTTACTTATATCGCTTTAACGGCTTAATCGATCATTATTAATATTGGTATACAGATACTATCTAGGGTGGAGAAGGTGATAGGCTACTTATGATTATTTAGGCTATTGATAGGCTTTTTATTCTGGTTACGCAGACGAAGTCGCGGGTAAAAGCTAGTTATATAAAGATAAATAAATCTTTATTCCATGCTCCATAAAAAAATATCTACTATATTTAATATATTGTGTAGCATAGAGTGCGTTGCGGCAAAGGCTTCCCCTAATTCCTTTCAATAGTTTCTAACCTGTGCTGATGTACTCCAGCATGGATCTGCTATTTGCTTTAACTTATCCTCCCAACGTCTCTGGACGACGGTTCTTTTTAATTAATGATAATGGAATGGTAACCCTGCCTACACTAAAGGTCTGGGGGGTCACCAGTGAGAGATGATAGAGGAGAATGTAAAGACAGGTCGGTTAGCCCGTCGTAATGAATACACCTGGAATTCAGCATTATGGTTTCTAGGGGAAACCACGTGGTGTTCGACTTGACAAGGTATCAGAGGGAGACTTTGTACAAAAGTCGATTGCTTGAGTACCTCTGTCCCATTCGTGTTTCTACCGTGAAGCACTTGTGTTTGCATGACTGTGTTTCGGTTTGAAGGGTGGAATATGGCGTGAATTTACTGGGTACAGAGGAATAACACCTGAGTCCTCAGGAATGGCAAGGCATGGGGGGGGGGTATTATGGGCGAAACAGTATACTCTGTTATGTCCATGGTACTGCTCATGTCTATAGGCGACGGTTACCACTTTCCATCAGGTGGGCGGTCAGCTTGTTTGCCATTCTAAGTTGTATAAAAAAAATTGCTAGCAATGGGACTGGTAGTTTACATTACTAACAATCCCTTCCCCCTTCGCTCTGGCTATAATTATATAACTTTGCATGATGATGATGATGATGATGATATCAGCCATTTATTGTCCACTGCTAAACATGGTCCTCATTCTTGAGTGCTTTTGCCCGTAGTGGTTTTTTATAGCTTTGCGTATTTAGTAACAATTAAATTTGCTATAGTAAATTTATTATTTTTAACTACTCTAGGTATACAGCACTAGTAGCAGCACCAAAATAGGTCCGAATGGTGTGAAAGAAACGCGCAAAACTCTCCAGGATTCTCGCACTGGCACCAAGAAAATGTCTATTGGTGAGTATATTATTCATATATTAATTACTAGTACCGCATTCGAGTATTCTGACACTTCCCTATGGTTGACAGGGAGAGAATGCTTTTAGCATTAAGTCCGCCATGTACACATATACGTACTAATGAATAAATAAATAATTACCAGCCGTTTCCCGCGGCGTCGCCCGCTTCTATGTAGTTCTCGTATATCATTCCTATTAGAACTCTTCATGAATTTATATTTTTTTATTATCCCGTTTTTATATTTGATTATATACTTAAATGATAATTACGTACCTAATACTTTCATAAAGTTTCAGCCATTTTAGCTGATCGGTTATTTTTATTGCATTTTATATGTGATTTTTTAGATCGATATAACTTTTTTATTTATCAACCGATTGAAATACAACAAACACTAAGTTTAAGTGAAGCAATTCACAACGCGTTAGTGAAAACCGCATTCAAATCATTTAAGTCGTTTTTGAGAATAGTGCGCACAAATGTATAGACAAAAATTAAAAAAAAAACATTATTCTATTGCGTTCATATTATAGTTTTTCTTATATATCTGCCATGTACAGACAGCGGCCAGTTACGATTTTATTATATATTTTAATTTATACTTAATTGTGTACACTGACAATACATAAAATATGACAGATGTAAGCAAATGTACAAAGGCGAGCTTAACTCTAAGAGAGTTCTCTAACAGAAAACTCGAAAATGGAAAGGAGCATCAATGACAGCGGCTAGAGCGGTGTACAATATTGTGACAAATTTTAAACGAGAAGAACTAAACGAGCTTAAGTTAGCTAGACAAGCGTACTATCCGCCATAAACTAAAATTTCATCCCAACCATCTGGACGAGTGATTTCAAGGCACTTTCTTCCACGCTCAACCACTCTTTGGAATCAACTTCCAGCAGCAGTATTTTCGAACCGATACGGCAACATAACCTTCAAGAAAAGAGCATATTCCTTTTTAAAAGGCCGGCAGCACACCTGCAATGCCTTTAGTGTTGTGGGTGATCATGAGCGGCGGTAGTCACTTACCACCAGGTGAGCCGCATGCCCGTTTTCCCCCTGTGTTGTAAAAAAAAAAGTTATATTTATACACACATACAAATAAATAAATATATGTTCATAAAGATAGATGCTCTTTAAGTCTAGTCTTAAAAATATTTAGCTATTGATTTATTGAAAGCAACATATCCTCTTATAAAAACGTCAAATCCTCATAAAGTTATTTTAGCTCTTAAACCGTTTTGTCCCAATTTTTATATATCATAATAGATGCACCGAATTAAAAAATGTTACATAGGAAATTTGTGTCATAGTTTTTATTCGTTATGACCTTATAATGTAGTAGATTATTTATACGCTATCTTCTCATGATTACAAATTCAATCCTCATACATACAAATCCTATACAAACATTTTATGTCCGGGGGGGAAATGGATTGTTAGTAATGGAGACTGAGAATCCCATTACTAGCAATATACCTAACCAGGTCGACCTCCTCGCGGTTCCCCCTGGAAACTATCATGGTTAATTCCTGATGAATTCATCATGATGGGCTAACTGGCCTGTTTTCATTCTCATCATTTTCATTCACCTTTCACTGGTGCTCCGCCAGCGTATCCCGTTAGCGCAGGGTTACCATACTATTTTCACCCATCAAAAAAAAAAAAAACATTTTATGTCCTGTTTTTATTGGTCAGCGTGTTGGTCTGACGACCTCTGTGACTTGGTGGTGGTGGAGCACGTTGTTTTGCGTAAACGACGTCCCGGATTCTATCTCCGGGCGTGGAGTAACTTAGGAAACGAACTAATGAATTACGAATCTCTTATTCTTTACGTAGTACTGACAACCTCCAACTCAAAATTCCTACACGTTCTACCCCTTTCTACTCCAAATCCTTTTCCGTGCAAGCAGTTCCGTTTGTGGAACTCACTCCCTACCTCTATACAGTGCGTTTAATTTTTGGCTTTTTTTAAAAGCTTAGTTAAATCCCACTACCTATCCTTATAATTACCTACTCCACCTTATTTCCTACCAGAATTATATGTGTTATATATGTATGTACGTGTTGTACGAGGTCTGTCCGGAAAGTTCGTATAAAAGTGTTCTGGAATGCGAGAAAGAGGAGTGGGGAGGCCAGGTAAGCGCAGGACCCCATCCTTATGTCCCTAACAATGCTTCAGTTCTGGTCTGACCGCCGTGCGGTGCGAACTGGCTTGTCACGCCATCTGTGAAGTTACCTCTTAACGAAACCCCGTCGGCATGGAGCCCGCTTCCGTTGAAGAGCAGCGCGTCGTAATCAAGTTTCTCTCGAAACTCGGCAAGAATGGCCGTGAAAGCAAAGAGTGGAAGACATCCGGGGAACCACGAACAAAAAAATCAAGAAAATCCCGCTCAAATGTCAAGACAATGTTGATTGTTTTTTTCGATGTTCGGGGGATTGTCCATCAAGAATTCGTCCCTCCAGGCCAGACAGTTGATGGAAAATTCTACGTCGAAGTGCTCAGACGCCTCAAAGCTCGTGTGGCACGAGTTCGTCCAGAATTGGCGCGAGAGGGGCGTTGGATTCTTCACCACGACAATGCCGCTGCCCACACCTCTCTTGTTGTCCGTGAGTTTTTGAGTAAAAATTCCATTACGGTGACCGAACACCCCCCCTATTCGCCGGATTTGGCCCCGTGTGACTTCTTCTTGTTCCCAAAAATCAAATTGGTACTTCGGGGGCGGCATTTGGGGGACATAAATGAGATAAAAAAAGCTACGACGGGGCAGCTGAGAAACCTACAACCAGAGGACTTTCAAGGAGCCTTCTCACAGTGGAAACGGCGTTGGCACAAGTGCATTATGTCACAGGGGGAGTACTTTGAAGGGGATAAAATTGATTTACCTGAATAATTGTAAAATAAAATTTTTAAAAAACTTTTATACGTACTTTCCGGACAAACCTCGTATAGTTATATTTATGCTTATTTACACAGATACTTATTATTTTTATATTATTTTTATAGATTTATTTTTTTAACCCACCACCTACGTACCTATTTATTCTTTAATTCTTTCTACCCAAAGGTTGTCTGGAAGAGATTGCTTGACAATAAGACTGCTTTTTTTACTACTTTTTTACTTATCAAAAATTCTTTAACAAGTGCGTAGAGATGTTGTATCTCTGTGCATCTTTTACCAAATTTATCATGGGGAGTGCTCTGAAGAATTGTTCGGATTGATACCTGCTGCTGATTTTCACCATCGTACAACCCGCCATAAACTAAAATTTTAATCCCAACCATCTGGACGAGTGGCGGTCCTCTACGGTGCGTTTTACAAGGCACTTTCTCCCACGCACAACCACTCTTTGGAATCAATTTCCAGCAGCAGTATTTCCGAACCGATACGACAACATAACCTTCAAGAAAAGAGCATATTCCTTTTTAAAAGGCCGGCAGCACACCTGCAATACCGTAGGTGTTGTGGGTGACTTACCATCAGGTGAGCCGCATGCTCGTTTGCACCCTGTGTTGTAAAAAAAAAATGTCCTGTAATATTGGTGCAATAAAATGTTAAATAAATAAATGAATGAATTTGCTTAGATCAGGGTGTATGTATAGTACCTATGTGATTTGTGTTAAAACGCCATAGTAATCTGTCACAGGCTTTGGATCTATGTTTATGTTTTTTTTTATTTTTTTTTATGCAATTTAGAATGGCAAACAAGCTGACGGCTCACCTGATGGAAAGTGGTAACCGTCGCCTATAGACATGAGCAGTACCATGAACATAACAGAGCCATTCCTGAGGACTCAGGTGTTGTTCCTCCGTACCCAGAAAATTCACGCCATATCTCACCCTTCAAACCGAAACACAGCCATGCAAACACAACTGCTTCACGGTTAAAACACGAATGGGACAGAGGTACCCAAGCAATCGACTTTTGTACAAAGTCTCCCTCTGGTAAGTAAATGTCTATTTATCTTTTTACGAATCTTTATTAATAATCAATCTTTAATGACGGACGTCGATGTATGTACGTATGGCTTAGAGCATACACAAACAAATTGATAACACAACAAACTTGTGTACACAGTCTACTGAAATAAAACACAAGTGTTTGTGCATTTTTTTTTTAAACTGAACAGTTTTTTGTTACATAATGTAGTCATGGGCATGACATCATTCTATGGCTAGGAATAAACCGATGACTTTACATAATAGGCGATTCACGTCGTTTACATACGGAGCGTAATTAGATCCGAGTGATATATGGCAAGTGGCAGAGATATGAATTTAAATAGATGGAGCCGCCGCGTGTTAATGTTTAGGTCTAAATAAACTAGAAGCTAATTGATTCTGTCAAATAAAATTATATTTTGAATTTTCGTTTTATATAAATGTTGAAAAATATTGAGATTAATTATAAAATAATATTACACAAGCTCTGTTGGGAAACATTTGAGGTTGTCGTTCCATTTAGTAGGGGGACATCTTACACTGCATCTATTTATACGAGGTCGCCAGTCAAGGCCCCTTCTTCCCCATCAAATGTAGGTTTTTGTACTATGTGATCTGCCCACTGTCGGGCTATCAAAATGACCGATACATTTTGATTCCTTTGCTTATATCCTCTTTTCGGATACTATCACACAATTCAAAACATTGGGTATGTCATCATCATCGTCATCATCATCTCAGCCATTATTTGATTACAACCGAACAATAACATTGATGCTCCTTTCCACTTTGGGTGTTGCTGGAAGAGAACTCTTTTAGAGTTAAGCTCGCCTTTGTACATTTGATTACACTCTGTCATATTTTTTTATATATAATTAGTGTATACAATAAAGTATTAAATAAATAAATAAATAATACCCAAATATATTCATATGCAATCCTTATTATGGCCTCTATAAGATAGGATGTTTGCTAATGCAATTAGTTTAGTCTATTTCTCTGTATGTCTTTGGCAAACCCTATTTTAATATAAGTTCCGTGTTTTTTAGTACTTAAGATTTATTTTTAACCTTTTATAGACTGACGAATTCTAACATTTATTGGCTCATAGGTTTCAAGTCTTGGACTATTCTCGTCGATAAAAATCTAGTTATTGGCTTGTTTTTATTAGACCGTTTCTTTATTGAATCCTCTTTTAGGTTTTTTTATCTCTTTCTAACACTTGTAAACTTGGCTTGCTCAGGTCATCACATCGGTGAGCGCGCGCACGTGATCGAGCGGGAACAGAACGTGTACTCGGGCGATGCTGAGGAGAGACAGGAGTTCATCAACCTTGACGAGGAAGAGGCGGAGGACTTTGATAGGTATGTATTGTATTGTATTTTTTTTATGGGTGAAAATGGTATGGTAACCCCGCCTGCGCTAACGGGATACGCTGGCGGAGCACCAGTGAAGGGTGATAGATGAGGATGAAAACAGGCCAGTTAGCCCATCATGATGAATTCATCAGGAATTAACCATGATAGTTTCCAGGGAGAACCACGAGGAGGTCGACCTGGTTGGGTATATTGCTAGCAATGGGATTCTCAGTCTCCATTAGTAACTATCCCTTTCCCCCCAGGCCAGTTAGTTGGCCTATCCATCGTGAAGCATTTGACAAGAATTCGCCTGCGTGGAGGTCAACTTGATAGTGTATTGTTAACAATGGGTTCGTTGAACCTCATGACTTACAACCTCTGCCCCCTCCCCCCCTTCCTCTAGCCTTCGACATTACATAATGTGTTGTTTTCAGGGAGTTTCAAACTAAGGCGGGCATGATGCGAGCCCGCGAGGCGATCTGCCCCGCGCCCCGCATGGAGTCGTCGCGTCTAGCGCTGCCGGCGCCACCTACGTAAGTTTGCACTTTATCATTCTGGATACGCTGTCATCTGCCAAATATTTTAGCTCATACAGTAATTATGGCTTGCTCAGTCTTTAAAATCTCGTTAGACTTAGTAGGTCGGAAATTCAGCAAGGTGGTTTTCAGGGCGACCATGTTGAGGTCTACCTGGTTGGGTATATTGTTGGCATTTGGGTTGTTATTATATATTTATGTTATCTCTTACTGAAGTCCTGTGTGTTATATTTCTTGCTGTGTACTCATACCTGATGAGTGTAGTATACTCATTAACACTTGCAGCTTTATTCATGTAAACACACATATCTCATTCACATAAATATTTTTAGTTTTCATTTTTAACGCTCTCATTCTATAAGATGGATATGTGTAAAATATCATATATGTATCCATAGTTTTTTTTAAAATATTATAGTCTGTAAACATCTGTTATATATTTTTTTTATTCTTTCATTGGCTTTAGAAACTTGCTTCTAAAGTTTAGAAAGCAGTTTCACACGAGATGGCCGTACATGAAATTCGACACGCTTTTCACACGATAACATAATTTTAAAAGTTTATAATTTTTCTGTTTCGATTGGGAACTGTTCAGAAAAAAAAAAAAAAGTAATGTAACATCATATTTCCACATACCTGCTCCCATGATTCACACATTCAATAGAATCAAAATATTTGTATGTATTTATGGCAATATTTTATTGTATACGCTTATTACTATGTGGTATAGATGTATTAGCATGATTGTATACACATCGCTATTTCTTGCACTGTTATATGCATTCTATATGTAATTATGTTATTTTATATTTTTCAGAGGAGGTTAGATGGAATACATTTAAATATTTGTCGTTGAGAATTAACAAATAAAAAAAAAAATTAACAAAGAACATTAAGTTACTGTTGATATCCATCTAACTGTCTCGACATATACAAAGTAGTTAGTTCGCATGATATATATTACAGTACAAGTAGAGATGTGTCGGCCAGTACGCGGTACCACTCGCGGCCATCAGCGCGTCGACCCATCCGTTCCAGGGCCAGCTCACACGTTTTACCCTCCAGGTAAATTGATAAGCTGTTTGGCACTATTTGTCATCGGCACAATCATTAGTTTGAGTTATAATAGAAAAATTAAAGCTGAATGTGATACTTCTTTTGCCTCTATATTAAAAAGTTCATTACGTTCAAAATTTGGCGGGATATTTGACACGAAATAGACTTATTAAAGTATTATTTCACTTAAAATCAAAGAAAAATGTCTCTGGTGTTCGAAATTTAAAATATTTGGGCTATATTGAAACATTGTGACGATTCATCATATAATTTATTAACCAAATACTAATAAACGATAACTACAAATTTTTATTCGTATATTGAAAAATAAATATAAAGAATTTTTGAAGAATTAAGATGCAATAATAAACTAATAAGCATTAGTATAGTAAACACACTTTTGTACACCAAAGGCACTAAAGCTTTTGTGCAGTATTGTGATTTTAACAGAGCAATTAAAACAAACTATCAAAATTAACACGAACGGAAGACCTCATAGATAATTTAACATAAACAAAAACATAATATTTGTATGAGGGGCTACAATCAATTTTGCTGTGGAATTGTATTCCTTTTTTCATAAATTTTAATAAATTTATTTGATCAATATATTTGTATGCGTTCTAAATTCAAAATTGTAACCAATTTAATCCGGTCAGTTCCAGATACTGGAGGAGGCGTCACTACTATTAGAAATATCGTAATATTAAATATTATTTTTTGTTGTTTTATATTATCCCTACCTATGTGCTGTAAAATGTACGCTATTTATTTATTATAAAAATGTTGGCTGCCTAAATATGTAAATACATTGCTATAGTTGCGTTTTGTTGGTGTGTTATGGCATGATATTATTTTTCTTGTATATATTTTGGTATAACTATACTTACATATTGCACACAGTGTCATATTTTGTATTAAGATGTACCTATAAAATATAAAAGGATTCATTATAGGGGTTACATAGTAAGATTAGTGTTTTTGAAGATGTGTGAATTGGAACGTTTCTTTTAATTTTTTTTTTTTACATAAGTTATCTTACAACTTATGTTTATGTTTTACATGTATTTACATACATTATGTTTTACAAAACAATCCGACTTTAATCTTGACTAAATTAATATAATATCAATACGGAAATAAACCAAAAAAAAAGGAAAAGTAAATAAAATATTGGAATCGTTGCAGATTTGATAGAATTTCAGAATTGTTAATATAGAAAAGAAAAAAAAAAATACAAATAAATTGAGAGTTTGTGTTTGTAATCGCATTTTTTATTAGTTTTAGATTTTTTTACTAATTTCTTTTTATTTTCACAGTTTTTTTTATAAACCATTACACCCAAATGTATAATAGTTCCCATATATAACACATGTTGAGTGAGGATCATATATATATCTTAAATACGGAGAAAAATCTAGAATTGATCTCGCAATATTGATACTAAGATGTAATATGATCATAGAAACCGTATTTTCAGATGATTTTTTCAAAGAAAAATAACTTAAATAATACTTTTATGTTATTTTCCTTTCGGACGTTAAAAAAGTTTAGGGGCCCAGTTATTGTAGTGTTTAAAAAAAAGTGAAAAATCGATAATTATCGGAACATTTAAATTAAATTAATTCTTAAAGTAGTTTATTGACTCAACAATGTTTTCAGTTATTTTTTTACGATTGTTACTTCACGTTATAGAAATATGTAACGTGTTTTTCATGGGAAAGTCGATAAGTAATCACAATTAGGCCGGCAGCACACCTGCAATGCCGCTGGTGTTGTGGGTGATCATGGGCGGCTTTAGTCACTTACCATCAGGTTAGCCGCATGCTCGTTTGCCCCCTGTGATGTAAAAAAAAAAAATTAAAATGATAATGTTTATTGTTTACTTTGTGATGTATTTATTTAGTGCCAGAACGTGAAGTAAAATTGTAATAAATTATATTTAAACTTCGAATATTACTTGTAGTACCTTTTTTTTATAGTCTACAATGACTGGGCCTAGACTGTGTACATTTGTAAAACATCATTGATGATAATTTAATATTGAAAGAATTCCCATACATTAGTTGTGGGTAATATATAGCAATATCAGTTGCAATATCTATATATTGGCCAAATAACGGATATATTATATATCGGATATAAATTTTTTTTTTATACAACTTTGAATAAAAAAGCAAACAAGCTGACGGCCCACCTGATGTAAAGTGGTAACCGTCGCCTATAGACATGAGCAGAGTGCCATGGACATAACAGAGTATACTGTTTCGCCCATAATACCCCCCATGCGTTGCCATTCCTGAGGACTCAGGTGTTATTCCTCTGTACCCAGTAAATTCACGCCATATCCCACCCTTCAAACCGAAACACAGCCATGCAAACAACTGCTTCACGGTTGAAACACGAATGGGACAGAGGTACCCAAGCAATCGACTTTTGTACAGTCTCCCTCTGGTACATATCAATATATAATATCGAAATTAAGAACTTCATAAAATGTCGTTTTACTACCCTCAATATCCAATATATAGATGTAGTGGTACTGATATTGCCCACACCTGGCATATAATCATATATGCCAAGCACCTTGGCCTTGACCTTGGCCCTTGCACCACACCCCCGCACTCATGGACAATATTGTAATGATGGCATGTTCCTTGCAGCACGAGCGTCCGCGAGGTGTACAGCAGCGCGCACCCGCAGCGTCATAGGCACAAGCACCAGAAGGTCCACCGACACAACGCTGACAATTAATCACCCATCCACCCCACGAAGCCGCCGTCCATCATCGACGTAACAAAACGCAAACCCTTTTTTTTTAATGGAATGGTAACTCCGCCTGCGCTATAGATATCCACTGGCGGGGCACCAGTGAGGGATGACAGGTGAGGATGAAGCAGGTCAGCCCACTTTGATGAATCTAACAATATACCAATCACGATGGTTTCCAGGGGGAACCATGTCATGGAGGTCGACCTGATTATTGTTAGCAATGGGGCTACTTATCCCCATTACTAACAATCCCTTCTCCTTCCAAAGAAAACATTTGACAGGATATCTTGTCAATGAGGACTACCCCCCCATTATTAACAATTCCTTCCCCCCTAATGTCTGACAGTGGAGGGAAAGGGATTGTTAGTAATGAAGACTGAGAATCCCATTGCTAGCAAAATACCCAGCCAGGTCGACCTTCTCGCGGTTCCCTCTGGAAACTCGTGGTTAATTCCTGATGAATTCATCATAATGGGCTAACTTGCCTGTTTTCATCATCATCGATCACCCTTCACTGGTGCCCCGCCAGCGTATCCCGTTAGCGCAGGCGGGGCTACCAATCCATTTTCACCCAACAAAAAAAAAATGTCTGACAGTTGAGACCGATTCAGTGCAATCCAAATAATAATAGAATGGTCTATGACTTTGACCTTATCACTAGAAAAATACCGTTTGTAAAGATCATTATTTTTAATAATATTATTTTAGTCATTAAATTATTTAAACAGCTTTGACGTCATAATATGGCGGAGAATTACTTCTATTATAGTTTTGATTGTATCGTGTAACGAAATCTTATGACACTACTACTCATTGCAATAACAAAACGCACTTTATTGATGCAGTGATATAATGTAGGAATGTTAGTTTACGACGTGAATATTGATGCGTTTATTGCATACGGAAATTTTGTATTTCCCCAGTGACTTTCACGGAATGATCTTACTAAAATAATAATATTGTTTTCTTTCAAATTTGAACGTAATTTCAACTAAATAAGATGTTTTAACCGTGAAAAATTGCGTTTTGTTACCAACTACAGTAAAGACCGATTTTATGTGATCGTCGCGTTTTGTTACGAACGGCGGGTAGGTTATAATTATTCCATTTTGACACGAAACGATTGCGAGCGATAGCGACCCGATTTTGTATTAGCACATGGTACAAGGAGTATAATTTTTGCCATCAGGTGGCGCAGTCTTGTAAGAGTTTATATTGTGTCTAGAAAAATTGTCAACCCATCTATGATATGCAAATTTTGTATTACATTTTTTTGTTTAAAGGAGAACTTATTTGTATTTTAGTGTAATTAATTTTGCCCAATGTATTGTAATTCGTAATAAAACAGACACAAAAGCGAAAATTCGCTTTACTGACACAAGATAATTGTTAGTTTTTTTTTTATTTGCACAGTTACAATCTTATTACAGAAAACTCTTTAATGCCCGGACTAAACCTGGACTAATGATAATGTATTGCATAAACCTGACGTTATTACAACAGCGGAATTAAAAAAAAAAGATTAATTAATGCAAAAATTAGACCGTGGATTATATGTTTCCACAGATAATACTCATTATAGTAATCATTCATTCATTTCGGTCATCAATCGGTATGTTTCGTTTTACCAGAAAACTGATATTTTATATAAAGTATTTTTTTTATCATTTTGAAATAATGTTTGTAAAATTTAAATAATATTTAACTTTCTGTCATTATTATTTAAATAGTTTAGTAGATATATTTTAGTCGTTGTAATACATATTTTTTACAATTACTAATTATCACCATTTCGTAGCAACTGTGTTGTGAAACGGAATATAAATTCGAATTTCATAAAATATTAAATCATCACACTGACTAATTTATCAGTCAGACCTTGTAATTTAGGTCAGAAATATATGTATAATATTTTAAGGGCAAAAGAAAATAAAAATTAATGTTTCGTCCTGTTGTAGAAAGAACATAACCTCAAAAATAAATATTTGGTCTTAAACCACAGTAAAACTAAGTATTTTGGGGGTCTATCTTTAGACCATAGATGGTCCATGGTTTATTCCAGTGGTAATTCTAGTATTATCTTTAGTTTACGTTTTGTAATAAAATAGTTATTGTATTAATAATTGGCAAATTTCATATTAGTTTTTATTTTCTATACACAAAACATATTTAAAGATATCTTGTATGAACGGGAATAAATAAACGAATGCCTCAATGCAGTTGGAATCTCATTTGATATGCTCTTGTATATAATATCGAACCTTTATGCGAGGCTTGTGTTATGCAAAATTGTTTGTTTTAACATTCACTAACATTATAAGATTAGCTTGGTGCATCTATTATAAGGAATACGTACAGTGATACTTGTAATCTTTCAGTCATTGGGCTCGGTTCGAAGGTGGCATTTCTTGAAATCTTTCTTTTTAGCATTTTAATTTCATAGTTTCGAAAAATTACAATTTTATTGACCATCGTGGACTAAGTTTATAATAATTTTGACTTTTTTAGAATTTTTGTTCATATTGGTCCTTAGGATATAGATTTCGGTGTGATATCAGGTTGAAATTTTAATTTAAAGATAGGTTTACAGAAATGCCGCCTAGGATCGACTCCAACGTCTAAATTTAATTCTCTTAAATTCGCTTCTTAAGACAGAATTACGTATAGTGGGATCGAATAAAGGTATATAAATCATTACTGTCATATATAGAATCATATTAAAATTTTGAAGTCAATGAATATTATATACTATTATATTCATTGCTTTACAGCTAGGTACTGTACAACTAGATTGAACGATAGCCTTTCATAAAATCATAAACGCTGTGAGACAAGAATTGTAACCTCATTTAAATATTTTCCGTCTTTCGAGCTAAATTAATATAAAAAAAAGTGTAATGTGCTAAAAATAATTTATAACATGTTTTATTGTTTTAACCGACTTCAAAAAAGGAGGAGATTCTGTAAGAAACTATTAAGTTTATTACAGAATCTCCTCTTATTGTCTTCTTATTAATAAAGTATTAACTTAAGTTTATAAGAATGAAAAATATCTAATAAATTATTTTTAATATGTCAAGAGAAACCTTTTTTTAGTAATTTCCTTAAAGTGGGCTGTGTGTTTCTTTTTATAGTTGTTTTTTTTACAATACATTGGAGTATAAATATGATTTTTTATTGCTTAACGACGCCAAATGTGACTTGGTCCTACCTGATGCAAACAATTAAGTTGCTTTTGCAAAATTAAGTTGCTATCGCTCTTTATCGTTAAGACACCGACCTCAATATACGAGAGTTGATATTAGGGTACGTATAGTGTACGTATTTTGATTGCAACGTCAAAACTTAACTGTAACTTAGTTATATTTACTTAAATTCATTGCGTTTCCATTTAAGTTGATCTGTTAAGTTGGTCAACGTCAAATCTCAATTGTAACTTAGTTATACTGACTTAAATTCATTGCGTTTCCTATAAAGTACCGACTTGACTGCTGTTGCGACGGCATTGTACGATGTGTTTAGTAGAAATTGATTGACATATCAATCTACTTATTTGCTAAGACTACATTGCAATTGGTTAAGAATATTGAGAAGGGTGTTTCGTTATTATCTCGTAGTTTTCACACTAAAAGTGCTCTTTGAAATCTTAGACTGTTAGCAGTTCATATTTATATCAAAGCAATTTCACATAACTGTGTCTGCAGCGACAAGAATATAACAAAATAACTAACTACTAATAATAGAATTACTAATTGCTAACTAACGTAATGTTTGGTTAATACTTTAGTTTTAAACTTTCGCGTTGTTTACTTACATATTTTAAATACACTATCGGCACTTATCATCATCATCATCATCAGCTCTTAACGGTCCACTGTTGAACATAAGGACTTATGTTCAACCTCCCCCTTTGGAGATTTTGCCAGTAGTTGCCATGCTTGGCAGGCGGGTTGGCAACCGCAGTTAGGTTTTTTGGGATGTTTTAAGAAGGAAGCTGCTGCCCATTCTCGTTCGCCCTTAGTCGCCTCTTACGACGCCCACGGTAAAGGAAGGGGTGGCTCATTCTACGCCAGGGCCGACATGGCAATAAATAATAGCCACGTGGATGGCACCACGTCGTCTTGTCGTGACCACGTGGTGTAATTTCGGCAATAAAGAATATGTCCATGGTAATGCTCATGTCTATAGGCGACGGTTACCATTTTCCATCAGGTGGGCCGTCAGCTTGTTTGCCATTCTAAGTTGTATAAAAAAAAGCAGATACGTAGGTACTACAATATTTACCTGCAAAAATGTTTTACCGCGTTAAATCCCGATGGTGTATTTAAAATATGATAATTGCTTTCTTTAAATTTTGTATGTCTAGTTATTTCATTAAATTTAATTGCTGCAGTCACCTTAAAACAGCATAGAAAATAAAAAAAAAATCTTAAATACCTCATATTGTCATGACATGTGTATGTTATAATATTGTTCCTTATTTCTTCTCTAGATCTCGAACCCACCAATATTGTGAAGTTTTAGTCTCAGATTAATATATTTATATAAAAAAAAATATTTAACAAATATCAATAATGCACCACTTTCATCCCATGACGTCACATCCCAAAAATTATTTCCAAACTCCACCTGTTTTTGTTCTTCGTTCATCCGGCAGCATTTTTTTTTAATTAGGATTATCGATTCTAAATTTAAAATATTCATATTTATATGCGTTTTCAGTATTGGTGTTATATGTTATATTGCCCCATTACACGTCTTAGATATTGCTTTAGTTAGATACAGACAATGTTTTAGTTTTATTCTAGTTTTATCATTCGACGTAGTTGTACTTTGTGGAGAAATCTAGATATTGAAAATAGAAATGTATATATTAATAATAATAATAATAAAATATTACAAACAGATTACCAGACAAATTACATTTATACAAAAAAAAATATTACAAACAGATTACCAGACAAATTACATTTATACAAAAAACATAGCACACAGTTATGCACTTGGCTTAGGCCCGTGTACACCTGTAAAACCGGTTTTAAGCCGAGATATCGTAAATTTAAATTAAAAATAATAATAATAATAATAAACTCTTTATTGCGCACAGTAAAGATGTATACAAGGAGTATTTATACAGAACGTGCATATACAAAAGGCGGCCTTATCGCTACAAGCAATCTCTTACAGACAACCTGGCATAAAGAATGGATAAGTACAGAGAGGTAGATGGCGCAAATCAATATTAACTGGCATAGATGAAGTTAATAAATATCTAGGTACCGATAAATTGTCCTTTGCTTATTAGAATGCTGTACTTGAGCCTTGATATCGCAGATATAGTATATAGTACCTTATAATAAATAGATGTAATACATAATAATAATTAAAAAAAAATATATTTTTAAGATGTTTAGATTTTTTGACAGAGATTTCGCCGTTGGTTGCAAGTTGAATTATATCAGTACTAAAATGATAAATATTATTTATTTGCCATTGTTGAATAGTGACTATCGTGAGTTATACTGTATTGTAGTTATATATGTTAGCTTTACTCATGTTTCTTATTTTAGGGTTGCCCTACTAGTTTTGTATTGTCACCGTTGCGCGCAACGCCAAAACGCGCGCAGCAACAAACAGCGTGCTGGTCGCGACAGCTGGAAACCGCGCTAATGAATAAGGGCTACTAATTTAAAACGCGAGTAAAACCGACATGTTTAATTATATATTTTTTTCTCACAAATTGACTAACGGCCTTCCATTGTTCTCAATCGCTTTGGACTTCAATAATTTATCTATGTTTTAACATGATACAATTTAATTTGCACCATACGTATATTTTAGGATTAGACGGGTAACATAAGAGCCTTTGTCCCTCTCGTTTCACAAATAAGCTTAGAACCGGTGTGCACAATCTGAGAAATAACATTCGGTGTATTTTTTGTATATATTTTATCACAATCTATTATAGATCTACATAATTTTTTGTCAAAACCAGACTGAGTAAATGGTAAAACATCTATTGGCAAAATCATTATAGTTAGCTAGGACTTGAGATAGAAAGAGACGGCGACGTCCGGTGTCTTGTTCTATCTGAAACAATTCTATCCACTAGTCTAGGTCTATGCCACTTCGAACTAATGTTTGTGTCAAGTCTGTGCAACCATCTAATTGATTTTGAAAATTTCACGCTATGAAACAGGTTTTCTTATGATGTCTATAGGCATCGTTTTTACATACATAAATAGTTGTATGCTATGATTTTTTTGATTGTGCTGTTGTTTTTAAATGGTTGCATATATTCATTTTCCTGTTTTGTCGATATATGGGCGGAACCGAGTATTAATAACACAGTTATTACGCTCAGTGGTCAGACCCTTTATATATTACAGAAACAGTGGTACGTATGAAGATGTCTTCTCTGCTAAGAGATTATCTTTTCACACGAACTTCTAAAACATAATCCTTTATGAATGTTATTTCTTGAGTAATGTACTCGGTTATATTAGTTAAGTGTAGTATAAAATCACTTATTCGGTAGGGGATAGTGTATAAATTCCTGTCTTATGTGATTATAGCGACACACATACCTATATAAGATCGCTTAAATACTGAACACGTTCCACCGTATTCAGTATTCAAGCGGTCTGAACACTCCCTAATGTGCTAGCACGTATAAGTGACATTTGTCATTATGACAGTTTTAACAATTGACTTAGTATAACGTGCTTACGTACATTATTAATGATTCTTTTGTTGTCTAGTAATGTTCGCATACATAAATTAAGGTTAGTACCGGTGGTCCTAGCTCACAACTACACGTGCCCACAGATAAGTGACAAAATTGTCATTATGACAAATGTCACTCATGTGTCTGTGTCAACTTTTACAATTATTACGAGTGATAATCCTTTACGTTCACTTGTAATAATCGTAAAATTAAATATTGTGTAAGTAATTATCCATTTGATGGCCTTATCCAAGTGTTTGCCTTGTATTAGTTTGTCAAATGCTTCCGCACAAAATTTGAAAAGTGCTCGACAGGCATTGCCAACATTCAGTAAAAATAGTTGATGTAAATTTCTAATATTAAGTTCTTTTACATTGTAAGTCTTTTTTAGTGAATATAATTTGTTCATTGTATCTCTGTTAAGGTTTCCAGCACATAAGATCACTGTCCCCTTATGCAAGTGGCAAGCGAATTTATTGTTAGAATTGTTTCGATTAGCGCATACATGAGAGAGAACAAGACAACGCATGTTGGCGACGTGTGTTGTCTTGTTCCCTCTCATAATTTTAATTCTATTTAATGGACTCGCTAGCGATAACGATTTTGTAAATAGATTCGTTTGCTACTTGTTTAGAGGGCTGATCATTATGCATAAGTGCATCATTGACAATGTCTAAGTGCTGGGAATTATTCGTATGTCTAAATTTTTACTGTCTTATAGTTATAAAGTTTCGATTATCGATGTTAGAAGTAAAAGAACCAATTTTTATTCCCGTGTGAACGTAAAATAAACTAGCAAATTGTATAGTGTGTTTTATTCATTATTGATCTAAATGATTTACTATAGGACCTGTATAAATAAATAGATCTTGTGGTTGGAACAAAATTTATTTTAGGAAATAACAAATTGCGCAAATTATTATCATAAGATACACAATATTTGGCATATAATTATAATTAAATAATTATAATCAAAGTGAAATTTACAAATAAATCTTAACCTCTAATAGTCGAAGTGAACAAAATCCCATCCCCAAAATTATTTACTGAACTTAATAATAGGTACTTATTGAAATTCGGTTAAAATACTTGATTCTAAGAAAACTAAGAAAAATGGGTGAAAAGAAAGATAAAAATTTTATAAATTTAAAGTGTAGTACTGATTACATCAGTGTTGGCGTCCGCCATTTTGTCATTGGCCATTTTGTCTTGGACGCCATTTCGTGTCCACTGTCAGAGGCTCAGGCGGCAGATGTCATCGTTGATCTCGAGCATCTGGTCTATGAATGACTGGTTGGACATGACTTTTGCCAGTTTGCAGATGATGCCACGTAGTTCACCAGCCTTGTAGTTCATCTGTGCATTGCAGAGTTCTATTTCTTCGTCTAAAGATTGCGGTAACTGGCGAAGAGAAAATAGCGATGTAAGTATAAAGTACAAAGAATATTAAATATATTTAAATGCATAGTAAGGAAATGTAACAGTGAAACTATGTTATTGTACATATAATTTATAAAAACATTGACGTAAAGCAGCATGACTAAACAATACTATGTTCGAGTCATCAGATTCCAATGTAAAAGCGAGTCATCCTTTTATCATCCATTTAGGTACACAAGTGACTGCGTAATATAATGAATCAGCACGATAATGTTGTTAATTTTGACCGTTGACAAGACAACAGTGATTCTATGTGGATTGTCGAATTTATAAAATGATAGAATAATAAGAATAGGGTAACAATAAAACAATACTACCAGATATATATATATATTTCAATATAATGAGGGAGACTGTACAAAAGTCGATTGCTTGGGTACCTCTGTCCCATTCGTGTTTCAACCGTGAAGCGTGTTTTTGCATGGCTGCGTTTCGGTTTGAAGGGTGGGATATGGCGTGAATTTACTGGGTACAATGGAATAACACCCGAGTCTTCAGAATTGGCAACGCATGGAGGGTATCATGGGCGAAACAGTATAGGTACTCTGTTATGTTCATGCTACTGCTCATGTCTATAGGCGACGGTTACCACTTTTCATCAGGTGGACCGTCAGCTTGATTGCCATTCTAAGTTGTATAAAAAAAAAAGTATATATCTAAGTAGAATTTCTATTTATGTACATAATAATGGATACTCCCATTGTTCAGTTAATAATTGAAGTACGTACATAAACCTGCAAGCATATTATTATTGTATTGTATAGCTAAATATTATTTTCCCATTTACATTTCGTAGTCAGACATGACATCGCATTATGTTGTAGATTATAGGCTTGAAATGTAATATATGGCTATTAAATATAATTGAACTGAATTGATTCCATACCATACTATGAACTGTCAAAGTAGGCTGTGTGAATATTGTATGAGACGGAACATGGTCACCAGTAGCAGTTTATTTATTTATTTATTCATCAGTACAAATATGTGTACATGGCGGACTTAATGCTAAAAGCATTCTCTCCCAGTCAACCATAGGGAAGTGTCAGAATACTCGAATGCGGTACTAATAATTATTGATATACATACATACTAAAATTACATATATAAACGAATAAATATATATGAATAATAAATATACTTACACATATATGATATATACTATATTATACACGAATTTGGGAATAATATAAAGCACTTACTGCTCGGATAAAGATAAAAAGTGAGCGTGAACGCTTTTTTTTGAAAGACGGTTTAGTCGGTTTACCAGTAAACAAAAAATGTATTATACCATAAACAGTGGTGATTTATTATAAATAATCCACAATTGGTCATAGATTTCTCTCCATAAAATATGAATATATGGATACTAGCTTTTGCCTGCGGCTTCGCCCGCGTGTGATATTCGATTCCTTGTTATATAGAATTTCACGTGTCTAATTTCTAAACTGACGAAATTTCATACGAACTTTTAAATCCCGTTTTATCCGCTTGGGGGTTGAATTTACAATATTTTCTGATTGTTCGTCTACGCCAGTGAATCTCAAACACTGTGCCGCGGCACTTTTGTGTGCCGCCAAATTTTAAAAGTGTGCCGCCAAATTTTGCAAATATTAAAAATTTGTGGCATAAACTATTTATGCAGTGTGTTGTATAGTGAGTAAATAATTTTTATCTTTTTCTTTGTGTGCCGCCAAATTTTGAAATCGTTAAATATGTGCCGCAACAAAAAAAAAAAAGGTTGAGAATCACTGGTCTACGCTATATAATGATCCTACTTGTAAAATTTTAAGATACTAGATTCAGCAGTTTCGGCTGTACGTTGATCAGTAAGTCGACCAGTATCCTTTTATAAATAGGTTTTATTTTATATAACAGACCCGGCGTCGCACGGGTGGACATTTTTACATTTTAAAAAGTGGCCATTAAGGCTGCACTCGAGACGGAAGCTTAAAAATGGAGTAACTTCTCCCGTTTTCCCAATATTTCCCTTCACTGCATCTGCTCCTATTGATCGTAGCGTGATGAAAAGTATACTATAACCTATATATGTATGAAGAATAATTGTACCAAGTTTCGTTAAAATCCGTCGAGTAGTTTTTGTTTCTATAACGAACATACAGACAGACAGACAAAAATTTTACTGATTGCATTTTTGGCATCAGTATTGATCACTAATTACCTCCTGATAGTTATTTTGGAAATATATTTCATGTATAGAATTGACCTCTCTACAGATTTATTGTAAGTATAGATAGAAGATGTATGTTACGAAAAAAAAACATTGATTTTGTTCCAAAGAAAACACTGACTTCAATTGTGGAATGGAAAACCAATTATTTTGATTGAAAAATTAAGTTACCGATTTTAATGAGACTTCTATAGGAAAATCTGGAAGTACTCGTATAATCTCACAAATAATAAAAGAATTTTCCAAATCGGTTTATAAATGATGGAGTTATGAGGTAACCAACATAAAAAAACAACCAAATTGAAATCCTCTTTTTCTGAAGTCGGCTAAAAAAAGTTTGTTCATGTGCATGCGCTTACGTCATCAGTGTCCAGGAATGTGCTGAATTTGTACTTCGTCTTCCGTTTCTCGGTACCGTTGTCGAAGAACAGTGTGAATTGTGCATCCTTGCCCCGAGCGCCGACCGGGAAGTACAGCCCGGCGATCAGGTGGCCCTTTTGATCGCGAGAGAGAAGACTCCTGCGCAGTGATAGAATTAGGTTTAATTTTTTTTATACAGATATAAAACCAAAATTGAATGCAGCTTAACAGTAATTTAGATAAAGTATCAAATATGAGATTGTGTTATGGTAATGTAATGGAGTCTTGTCCACCATTTTGGTAAGAATCGTTGTCTCACTCTTGATAATTTTGAGTGTTGAGTCTTTTCATTTTTTTCATAAATTTTCATTATAATGTAAGGTTGTTAAATATGTTTTAATAAATATTGTAACTAAAGTAAGTAGTAAATAATGTGAAGTAACATTAACAGACTACAGAATAGTCCTGTCTCAATCTGACCGTAAAGTTTTTTGTGCATTTCGGTAGGTATGTCGCACTATATATTTGTCTACACTATATATTTGACTATATATTTTGTGGACCGATTTTAGTTATTATTTTTTTACAAGGATTGCAATTAGGGGTTTGTACAAAAATATTTGAATTGGGTTTTTTTTTGGCAAAAATATAATTTTTCGTTTACCTAAAGTTGTAGACCAGATTTCTCCTCTCAGTAACATTGACACCGTCCAGGTAGGGCCTGGCGGCGTACACCAGGGAGGTTTGGCACTTCACCACGCTTCCTCTGGTCTCCCTCTCTTGCCACTCCACGTAGGAGCTGTTCTGGGGGCTGAACACGTAGTTGTACTCCTTGCGACAGTGCGGCTCATCCGATTGTGTGAACCAACCTGTTAAAGGTGATGTAATATTAGATTATTGGGGGGTAAGGGATTGTTAGTAATGGAGACTGAGAATCCCATTGCTAGCAATATACCCACCAGGTCGACCTCCTCACGGTTCTCCTTGGAAACTATCATGGTTTATTCCTGATGAATTCATCATGATGGGCTAACTGGCCTGTTTTCATTCTCATCTATCACCCTTCACTGGTGCTCCGCAAGCGTATACCGTTAGCGCAGGCAAGGTTACCATACCATTTTCACCCATCAAAATAAAATATATTAGATTATTTATTGTTCATGTCATGACTCTAACAATATCTTTTACGCGACATGGTGGTCCCGATGGAAAGTTGAAAACGTCGGTTACAGATGTGAACATCATCATGAAAATCATGGCTGAGATGATATACCAATCATGCATTGCCAGTTCTGAGGTCTGGACTAGGGTGTTTTACCTGCGTGTCCCTCTATAATTTTACTACCATATCTCAGCTTTCAACCCGAATAGTCCTTAGTCTTATGTCGAAATAAAGTCACGTAAGGTAAGCTGCTTGGAGGCAGCGATATGAGAGAGAGAAGTACTTGTGCAAACGACTTTTTACAATCTCCCTCGGGTCATATAAGTATGTAAATAGATAATTTTCTTAAATTTTAAAATAGTGCTCTCGCATTTTGGGGGTCATGTCACCCGTGTTCAATAGCGAGGACGATTCTCCCAAATACCAAAGCCAAAAACTACCATAAAACAAGTATGTAGATACTCGTATATAGATAGACGATAGTTACCAGTATGTGGGTACGCTCGATCAGCCATGACGGTGACGATCCGCGGCACGTGGTAGCCCGGGTCGGCCAGCAGGAGTCCCGGCCGCCCGTCGATCCTAATCTGCACGCCCACCATCACGTGCTCCTTTTCGGCGGCGACCACCGCCGCGGGGCTGTCGCCGCACGACACGTACTCCCGCACGTCCACCACCGCCTCCTCGCACGACAGCAGCGCCGTCGCCGCCGCGAACCCGGCGAACTCCTTGTTCAAACCTCGCCACCTCTTGATCAACTCCAACCCTAATCCGACACACGTGTGCTTCCTCGCCCGTATCGGCGGCGAATACTTCTCGTACACGTCGTAGAGTTGTTCAGGTGCTTTCTCGAAGGCCTCGAAGAGGGAGATGAAGTTGCTGACGGAGTCGTAGTTGTCCGTGACGAGGAGTCGGCGCAGAGCGGCCTCCGCCTTGGTGGCGAGCTCCTCATGCGTAGTCGGTGTCAGGTCGAGCGGCCGTCGTGGCGGGCCCCACCGCGCGGGCGGCAGGGGAAGTCTGGTCACGTCGCGGGCGAGGCCGGGTTCCGGTGGATCCGGCTCTTCCCGCGCGACCGAAGCGAGTCAACTCGGCCATTCGGCGCCCCAGCGGCCGACGGCGGGGGAGGCCGGCTCGGCCTCCGCCCCCGGGCCTTCCCGCTGGGCATCGTCTCCGCTTCGCTCGCTAGCAACCTCGACGCCCTTTGCGAGCGCCTCTCGCTGCCTCTCTAACACCAATGATGTAGGTTTTTCACGCTCTGCAAAAAAACATTGTGTTGTTATTGCATTTGATCGTAGCGCTAAGTTATCACGATACAGGTGTTTTTCGAAAATGTTAGCGTCCTCAATTCATCTCGAAAATGTTAGCGTCCTAAATTCATCATTAAAAGTAAACAAGTTGCTTAAAGGAATATGTGTTAAAAACTATTTTACTCTAGGTATATATAGGGCCTTATTATGTCTTGGAGTCATAAACACATAATAGGAACAAAAATTATTCCACTGTATTTCTTAGTTTTTTATAGTATTGTAAAAGGCTGTAAAACTTTAAAATTCTGTTAAAAGGACATTTATAGAAATGATTTTGGTATGATATTTGACAGGTATTCCTCTAATGCTCAAAACAATAATAAAATTTCATTGTGCATTTATTGATCGTATAAAAAACGTTTAAATACACGCACAAAAATAAACGAGTGCTTCGCGTTTTATGAACTCACAGTTTATGAAATTAGAACAGGAAATCACAAGCGAGTCGTTTTGGTTCCCTGGTACAACCGGAGCCGTAGCGTGGTATTGGGTCATGTTTGTTTTTTAATGTTTGTAAAAAGTTTAAATAAAGAAATTTGAAACAAGAACTTTATGAATCAGCGTTAAATCCTATAAAATATATTTCAGTAGTAACTGAAGGAGACGAGTTATTCAATTTGATTTTAGATATAGATAGATTTTAGATTTTACCAGGGGGAGACTTTGTACAAAAGTTGATTGCTTGGGCACCTCTGTCCCATTCGTGTTTCTACCGTGAAGCAGTTGTGTTTGCATGGCTTTGTTTCGGTTTTAAGGGTGGGATATGGCGTCCTCAGAATTGGCAACGCATGGGGGGTATCATGGGCAAAACAGTATACTCTGTTATATCCATAGTACTGCTCATGTCTATAGGCGACGGTTACCACTTTCCATCAGGTGGGCCGTCAGCTTGTTAGCCATTCTAAGTTGTATAAAAAAAAATTGTACCTTTAGTAATGATATTGTAGTAGATATATTAACACAGTGATCTACATATGTTATTTAAATAAATAATAGAAGATATAAAATAAAACTCGGAACCTATCTATGTAATCATCAAAAACTACTAAGCCCGCCTCTGTACATTTGTTTTACTTTATTATATATCTGTATGTATTATAAGCATGTAGAATAAATTGAAGAATTAATTATACTATATACAGTTTATTCTAATTAGAGATTATTAAAGATTGTGTCCTACAAAAAACACTACGTCAATTGTGACAAAATCAGTTGTTTTGATCTAAAAACTAAACTATTTTTTTTGATGGGTGAAAATGGTATGGTAACCCCGCCTGCGTTAACGGGATACGCTGGCGGGGCACCAGTGAAGGGTGATAGATGAGAATGAAAACAGGACAGTTAGCCCATCATGATGAATTTATCAGGTATTACCCATGATAGTTTCCAGGGGGAACCGCGAGGGGGTCGACCTGGTTGGGTATATAAACTTTTTATGGCGGCAATATGTAAGTATGCCCTTTCAGATAAGAAAATAAAAAGATTTTTTTTTCAATCGGTTTAGAACTGACGGAGTTATGAGGTAACAAACATAAAAGAAAAACAGCAAAATTGAGGGTATTCTTGTTTTTAAGTCGGCTGAAAATGTAGGTACGTTTAGTCGATTTATTATTTCGTTTTAGTAAATTATAATCATGGCGCTAGGTGAAATAATCTCTAAGAAATACAACTGTTGTAGACAATGAGACATCGTTTCATAGCCATGTGTTCTATATTGTAATTCGAGTACGGAACACTAAAAATAACCACGCTTCTAACCTCTAAATTAGGACCATCGACAACGATCCGCATGCCTGTACATTATTACTCGACACGGACATCGAACCTAGGGTCTCAGACCGGTTTTTTACACTAATGGAACTATGGAACCTCAACGCCCTCTGTCCATTTGATGGGAACTCATTTTAAATAAAGAACTATTCATTTTATTTATTTGCACTGCAAAAAATCTGATAAGCTGTATGATATCATTCCTTGGTTTTAAAGGACAAGCGGTTTACCAAAGACAGACTCTGTACAAAAGTCGTTTGCTTGGGCACCATTCGTGTTTCTACCGTGAAGCAGTTGTGTTTGCATGACTGTTTCGGTTTGAAGGGTTGCTATATGGCAGTGAATTTACAGGGTACAGAAGAATAACATCTGAGTCCTCAGGTATGACAACGCATGGGGGGTATCATGGGCGAAACAGTATACTTTGTTACGTCCATGGTATTGCTCATGTTTATAGGCGACGGTTACCACTTTCCATTAGGTGGGCCGTCAGCTTGTTTGCCATTCTAAGTTACATAAAACAGGGTAAAATGTAAATCGTTAGTCATACGTAAAACTAACAATCTAATAATAATTTCGGTAATTAAAAATTCAAAGCCTTTATATAATGATTCATTCGGGTGAAGCCGTAGGATACAGCTAGTGTTTCATATACAGTTTGTCTACAAATATTAACTAAATTGCAGACAAGTCTGACGCACACAGCTCAATTTGAACTCTAAATATCTAACTTGAAACTGCACACCCCAGCATTTGTGAATTATTATGTAAACCTTTTGAGGAACTACGATGTGTAAGCTAATCTAGATAATAGGGGAATAGGCACTCTTAGTAATGGGGTCTAACAGTTCTTTCGCTAGCAATATACCCTATCACGTTAGGGGGGAAAGGGATTGTTAGTAATGGCGACTGAGAATCCCATTGCTAGCAATATACCCAATCAGGTCGACCTCCATGCGGTTCCCCCTGGAAACTATCATGGTTAATTCCTGATGAATTCATCATGATGTGCTAACTGGCCTGTTTTCATTCTCACCTATCACCCTTCACTGGTGCTTCGCCAGCGTATCCCGTTAGCGCAGGTGGGGTTACCATACCATTTTCACCCATCAAAAAAAAAAAAGACCTCCACACGTTCTCCCTGGAAACTATCGTGGTTTTGTCGAATTCATCACGATGAGTTCACTGACATGCTTTCATTCGCATCTTTATCATCTCTTACTGGTTCCACGCCAGCGTATACCGATAGAGCAGGCAAATTACTATTCTATGTTCACCCATTAATATTATAATGAATAAAATTAAAAAATTTAAGTAACCCCCGATATGTTTAAAAAAACTTCATATATTATAGCTAAGAACTATCTCGATCACTATAGCTTTAAAAAAACGCATCATATTTGGTATATTTATTTAGGAGCTACGATGCCTCAAATAGATGTTCAGACGTCAAACTTATAACACCACTTTTTTGCGTCGGGGGTCAAAATATAACCTATAAAATACCAAATTGTAATTCATTTCAGCTTCTTAGCATTCTTACTTGTCTATACTTTCTGCCGCTATATTTTATGCGACAACCTGTGTGAATATATCTGTATGTAGAACTGTGGTATTTTTTTAGTTTTTTTTTAGCAGTTAAACATCGGGTATTAAGGCTACAATTTTTATCTTGATATGTAAAGGCTAAATCATGATAAACTATGTATAAGCGCGTAATCATTTTAAACTATACATAATGGTGATATTAAATTGTAATTATTAAAGTTCTTAGAATTCGTAAATTAATATTATTTACGGGTTATCTATTTAACAATGTTATTACGTTGAAATATGAAGCGATAATTTTTTCCCCGAATGTATTTATTTAATTGTATTTAATTCGAAAATGGTAATTTGATTATACATATTATGTTTAAAAATAACCTTAGATATTACGGATAGGTGTTCTTTTTATCATGTTTTATTAGAAACAAGATTAGAACACTTACAGAGGAAGAACATTTAATTAAAAAAAAAAAATCATATCCAGAAGAAACAGTCGCGTTACTAAGTTAAAAAGAAAAATAAAAATCTATGAATAAAAATATACGGATAGGTGTTTTTTCATGTTTTATTAGAAACAAGACAATTGTATTCATAGAGGAACATTTACATTTAAATTAAAACAAAAAAAAACACATCTATAAAAAAATACAGTCGCGTTACTAAGTTGAAAAAAATTTAAAAAAAAAGTGTATTGCGTTTTTGCATGATAAGAATCTTTGGAAAAAAATAATTAAAATTAAAAATCTATGGCTTTTTTTTAATCAATGTATCTGTTAACATGATAATAAATTTCAAAGCTTGGAACGAGTTAGGAGAGATCTTGACCATCTCACCAGAGGGAGACTTTGTACAAAAGTCGATTGCTTGGGTACCTCTGTCCCATTCGTGTTTCAACCGTGAAGCAGCTGTGTTTGCATGGCTGTGTTTCGGTTTGAAGGGTGGGGATATGGCGTGAATTTACTGGGTACAGAGGAATAACACCTGAGTCCTCAGGAATGGCAACGCATGGGGGGTATCATGGGCGAAACAGTATACTCTGTTATGTCCATGGTACTGCACATGTCTATAGGCGACGGTTACCATTTTCCATCAGCTTGTTTGCCATTGTAAGTGTTGTTCAGGAATTTCCTTTTTCAAATGCAGAGTAACCGATCTCGTTTTCCGTAATGCGATTTCTTCAATATGTGTAGGTAGTATTCGATACAAGAACGGCTAAATTTAATGTTTCTCCGTTCCTGACGTCACTGTTACTGGTTAGTCATCACAGTCAGTGAGATATTTGAACAATGTTTATTGGTGTGTTAACTAGCGTAAGCCGTTTCGAGGTGTTTCCTGTTTAAAATTAATAACAAGTTATAATAACCTGTTTTTATTGGTAACAGTTATTTGTCGTTTATGATTGAACACATAAACGTCTCACTATTTAAAATGAGTCCATTTCTGTAGAGGATATTGGAGAAAAGGGATTGTTAATAATGAAAGAAGAAGAGACTGTCAGATAGATCTGTCATTAGTCTCCTTGGAAATGAGCGTAGTTAATTTCTGGGAAATTAGCCACGACGTGCCAACTGATGACTTCATTCTCACTTATAATCCTTCACTGTCATCATAACAATGCAGGAAGGGTGAT